ATAACCAACTGACAATAAACCTAATTGACCATTACCTTAGACAGCCAATCAGAGCTTGTTATATTCGCGCCTTGTTCCTTTTAGTTTCCGTTTATATTGATCGATTTCTACTTTCTGTTTCATTCTTGCGTTTTACTCTGATGAGTGCTAGTCGAAAAGCTTTAGTATGGATCTTTTCAATGCTATTCTCGATTAATACTTAAATACATACATGTACTTTCTGTCTTTAATAACCATTTAGGGAGGTAACCAGCCATTAGTGAGTTAATATCTACCCCTGATCATCGTGTATGTTGATACAGCTTTAGACAGAGGATGAGTCGTGTTTGTATAAACAATGTCTGATCGGTTTCTCTGACCGTTCCTTTCATGTTGATAGTGATACATGGGCTTGATAGAGTACACAATTCATGGTTTCCCGGGGCAACCAGCATGCTAGCTCCCTGTGATCATGTCATGTATGCTGACACAGCCTTAGACGGATGATGAGTCGTGTTTGTGTAAACAATGTCTGATGGGTTTCTCTGACGGTTCCTTTATTGTTGAAATTGTCTTTCATTGTCTAGAGTACGCAATTCATGGTTTCCCAGGGCAACCAGCCTGCCTAATAGCTACCACAGAATGTGGAATATAAGTTAAAATGGTCTGATGTGTTTCTCTGACAGTTTCTTTAATGTTGATACATGGGATAGATTACACAGTTCATGGTTTCCCAGGGCAACCAGTCAGCATGCTAGCTACCTCAGAAGGTGGAAAATATGTAAACAAGATCTATTTGGTTTCGCTGACTGTTCCTTTAAGGTTGATACATGGGCTAGATAGAGTACACAATCTGAGGTTTACCCAGGCAACCAGCCTGCCTAATAGCTACCTCGAAATGTGGAATTTATTTTAACAAGGTCTGATGTGTTTCGCTGATTGTTCCTTTAATGTTGATACATTGGGTACACAATTCATGGTTTCCCAGGGCAACCAGCCCGTCTGCTAGCTACCTCTGAATGTGAAAAACATGTAAACAAGATCCGATGGGTTTCTCTGACCGTTCCTTTAAGGATGTTTATGCGTCGATATAGTCGTTCGTGAAGTAAAACACTGAGCCAACGGGTATTACGCTCCCGCACAGACGTACGCATAAAAGGACACTAGTACGCACAGAAGCGTAATACTCGTTGGCTCAGTGTGCTGCCCTCTATATACCCACGCATGAGCAACTTTAATGTTGATACATTGGCTAGATAGGATACACAATTCATGGTTTCCCAGGGCAACCGGCCCCCTAGCTACCTCAGAATGTAGAAGGGTTTATCTCTTGTCAGGCAATTCATAAAGGAACAGAAACCCCAAAGCCAAGGCTTACTTTGAATCGTTTGGTCATGGCATCAGGTCAGGTAGCCTTGTTACCCGACCTTTTGTGAAAACATGACCCTTTATTCACAAAATATGTAGAAATAAACCCCTCTCATCTACAATTGGTCTGGTTACAATTACCGGACACCTTGTGAACACCATTCAGAAAATCTCTGAAAGGTTGCATCCTTTACGTGCATTCGCACATGATCTTCTGTTTTCGTTTCACTAAAGGTCATGAAACGCGACTCCCCGACCAGACATGATGACCTGATAAATAGAAGTAAGCCAAAGCCAATTAGAGATCCCAACACCCTCGCCAAATTTCTCCTTTTATAATACTGAACCTAACATTGTAATCCAAACTCTCTCCTTCGAAGAGAAGGTGGAGTTTTGAGCCTCCATAAACTTTACGGATATTAGGAATGATATTAAGTTGTAAACAGCATATTGTTTCCCCAATTCATACTTTTATATCCCTTATACATGGTTTAGGAACATAATGCCCTAACCATCATTTTCTTTTTCAGACTTTCCATTTAAAAACATTCACACAATTAACAAATATGGTATAGTTCTCCTTGTCTGAAAGGGTACGGGTCATTTTAATAAATGAGGAGACAAGTCTCCTTCTGAGAATGCATTAAAGCAAATGTGACTTCCCACAGGGAAGGAAAACAGCATTTTAGAAGGAAAGAGAAACAAATAGCAATTTGCAAATTAAAGAAATTCAATCCATGAGATGATTGTTACATGCACTGAATGTTCAGGTTGGATTTCCTTACGCTTGGGCCAATCCAAAAATCAGACAAGTAGTGTATAGCATTGAGAGAAGAATGGATGATTTTCACGAAACCATCACAAGTACAAGTTCGCTGACAACTCATTAACATGCATTGTACATAAAATTTTAAAATGTCTCAATGGGATTTTGCTGGACTTGTATTTATGATGGCTTCGTGTAATGACACTCAGAATTCCTTTTGATGTACATGCGCCTCTTCTTAGCTCCCCCAATGGTAATGCAATTCAAGTATAAGCTCTGATATCTCTCTTATTACCCTATTATCGTTATTTAATTTACTTTAATTTGGAATCTTGTAAAGCCTGCCTATTCCATTTGTCAGTGATGCCTCAGTTGTAATGATCATGTAATCATGGAATGTTGCGAAATGCATTTTTAGTGTTTGGAGGAGAGAGAAGGAGAGATAGAGAGAGGTGGGGGGGGGGGGGGGGAGAAGAGGAATAAGAATACATGATGAATCTAATGTCCATAGTAATATTATATCCGTAAAGTTTTTAGAGACATTATAGATGCATTAGACGCTTTGTAGAATCAAGAATATTAAGTTTTAAATTTGAGTCTGTAGATGCAGACTACCATGCAAGGATGATGATGGCGATGAGCTGGGGTTTGTTTTGAGAAGACTATGCTTAGAGGGTATCATGTCAACGATGATTAGCTGAGCGCATCCAACCTGTTCACGCATTTTCATTGATTTGCCCTCCCCTACTCATGAACAGCGTACCAATTAGCTTTATCTACGGACCTAGTCGTGATGCCCTAACCCTCGGCGAAGGGCAGCATAATAGTGATTGGTTTACTGGAAATAGAATTTTGGTCATGTCATATTAAAGATAAACTCCAGTTCTGGTTAAAAAAAGAAAATCAATTCTCACAGAATCTAATGAAACTTACACTGAATATTCAAGATTACAAATAAATGTCATGTGCCAATCAATTTTGGAAGAAAATGTATACTGGTTGAGTAATGAGCATAGAAAGATAAAGAAATCAAGGTAGTACTAGCCCTGACACCATTTGTGTTGTCCCATATACATCTTTCTGTGTAGTGTGCTTGTTACTTTACCAAGGCTGAGCCAAATTTGTTATGAATTTGATGACTCAAGAACCTTGGAGTACACACCAATACTTACAAGCTACATGATCAACTTTTTCTGACGCATTCCACACCTTTTCCTTCACAATGCAATCGCATGACCAGAGCTCACCTTTATCTTTAATGTACTCCATGGTTTTGTTCCAGAGCCAGAGCTCATATTTAGCTTTTCAGAGCAATACAAAAGTGTAGATCAGTAACCACCCATGTTCTATGCTCTACAAAAATATAAAGGGAGAGAGAGCGAGAGATAGTGCCAGAGAGGGTGAGAGGGACAGAAAGAGAAGATGAAATTAGGAGAGTGAGGAAAGAGGGGGATGGAGGGAAAGAAAAAAAAGGGAAATATGAAGAAGAGGAGGGAGACAAAGGAGGTAGATGAAAGCAGTGATGAAAAGTGTGATAAAGGGATGAACAGAGAGAGAGAGAGAGAGAGAGAGAGAGAGAACAGCAAAAACCCTTCAGTGGTAGCACATCTTATTTTTAGTAATCATCTGAATTTCTGTTTTACCCTACTCAGAGGTCTACCCTTTAGCTTTAGAGTCTAAATTCTCAGACTAGACCACAAAGGAGATTCACCTGCACTCTTCATTAAATTCTCAGCGTATTGCTTATTAAATTGGTTTTGTAGATTATCTCAAAACATGAAGCATCAAAGGATGAGCCATGTCGACTGATTTCTCCTGACAATACATGTATGGGAATTGTGTAGTCTTAGATTTCAGTCTACTTTGCATAATGTTATCTGTCATTTTGAATACGGGCATATAGATTTCCGCTCACATTCGTAAACACGTGCATGCTAACTTATATGTAAACCAGGAGAGTATTTCACAAAACAAAATGGCAGTTTTTATTATTAAGCCAGAGAGATTCTTGCTTCTGATTGGTTATCAGCAGTTTTGTCACTGATTTTTGTCATTTGTCAGTCACAAAAGGCTTTGTGAAACACCCTCCTGGCTGAATTTTGCATTCCTTTGATTGATGGAGTGTGGTCTGTTAACATCCCTATACCACATCAAAATGAATGTAATTCTGTAACAAAATGAATCAAGGAAATTAGTTTACTTATAAAATTAAAAATGCATAAAAATGAATAGGTTGTCACATATTCTGATTTCAATTGGACCACTGAGTAACATGTTTATTTATTCATGAATACTACCTTACTCCCTTTTCAGCTTTAATATTAATAATAATACAAATAATGTTTTTATATAGCGCATTTTCCATATACATGTTTCAATGCGCTTTACAGTTATATTGTGACAGAAGAGATGAGATTTGAGATATTTTTTGAAGGTATTGACAGATTGTTGGTTACAAAGAGATATGGGTAGGTTATTCCACAGTTTGGGAGCAGCAGTTGAGAAGAGTATCTTTGTCATGTAGAGTACTGCCTTGTCTCGTTCTCATCTCTGTTGGCATCTCCCTTTTTTTCCCTATTCTGTAGTTCCTTTTGTAATTACGAACTTGTTAAAATAATTACTCATTAATCAGATGAGGTGTTCACACTTGTACAAGCATTGCTTTTTAGTGGACCCCTCTGTTTCCAATATTTATTTCTACATTTGTTGTAAAAGTTTATAATTGATTTGTAATGTTTTGTTGGGAACATAAATAAATTGAATTTAGTTGAATTGAAGGCTCTGTCACCAAGTGTGGGTAGTAACTAGAACATGACGTTTTCCAACTTGAGGCTTTCGCTGCTTCTGCACTATTAACCGAGCAATTTCTTTTATTGTTTCTTTACAGCACTTATAGGAGTCAGCTTAATATGGTCCATACTGAGTATACGCTGGCTCGTCATGTCCTACTCGGATTGTACTATACATCAAATTAAACAAACAGTATTAGGTAAGTCATTACACTTATTTCTTCTTTTTTCATTTTTATAATGATAATAATTTTAATAATAATATTCGGTTCTTGTATAGGACATATCACATTATAACGTCCCTATGCACCTCCAAAAAGCTTTGGAAATTATTACCCTATCTTTAGCTCCGGCAGCAGTTATCAGCGCACAAAGCATTTCAAGGAATTTTTTTTTTTTTTTTTGTGTAAAATGAATTTATTGATAAATATATGCATTTGAACAAAACAAACAATCATACACAATCAATTGAAATAACATCGTAGCATCTTAGCATAGTTCAAATAAAACATGTTTCGTTTTCTTGAATAACAGTGTTTTCAAAAATGCATATCTTTTTTGTTTTACAGTTTGCATATATGATAAGAAAATTTAAACTTTTAAATATTTTGTTTTTCAATTTATAACCTTCAATTAAAACGAACTTGTCAAAAGAAAAATTAACATTGTAAAGTTTTCGAATTATGTCTCCAAATTTTAACCAAAACAATCTTGTGTGCTTGCACTTTACAAATAAATGGAGATTGTCGTGTAACTGATCATCATATAAACATAAGGGATTGTTACACAATTTCCATTTAAATAAATTATACCTATTTGGTAATAAGTTGTGTAATAACTTAAAATTGAATTCTGATATTTTGTTTTCTTTCATAGCTTGTAAATTAAACGACCATATGACTTTCCAGTCGATTTGCTCTGCACTATTTAACATTTCTTCCCATTTCTCTTCTATTGGAGGTCTAACAATTGAATGAATAGACAACGTAGAGTAAAAAAACTTCGACTTTCGTTTAGTGTTAACATTCATTAAAACATTTTTCATGACACCTTCATTTTCTTCTCGTGTCGCATCATATACATGTACCTGTTTTAACATATTCTGTTTCCAAACTTTGGGAATTGCATTTACTATGATATAATATTCTTGAAACAAAGAAGCATGTTTTTTCTCAAATCTTTCTTCAATTTCTCTCAAAGACATAAATCTAGAGTTTTTTACGACATCATTAATTTTCAAAAGGCCTACATCGAACCATTTTTTAATAAATAGTACATTTTTGTTGTGATCTCTTATATTTGAGTTAAACCATATGTTTTCACTTCTAACATTAGTACATTGTAAATCAATTGGCGTCTTACATTCTACTATCTCTTTAAAGTCAAACCAAGTATATACCATATTCTTGTAATATTGGGGCATTTTTATATTCTTTAAACAAAACTTCATATCATCTTTTGTACATTTACTATTTAACACATATTTTAAATTGCCCACTTTTTTAAAGAAACCATCAATTATCTTTTTCCACTTTGAGTTTTCGTGGGAGAAGTAGTGCAATATCCACTTTAATATAAAACTTTGTAACAGAGCATTCAAATCAACCATTTTTAGTCCTCCATACTCATAACTCATACAAACCACTTTTCTTTTTATTTTGTGTTTTTTTCCATTCCACAAAAAAGTATACAGTAAAGAGTCAATGAGTTTTATTACATTTTCCGGCATGGAAATCATTTGAGCATTGTATATAATTTGAGAAACAAGAAATGATTTGATTATAGTTATTTTACCAGAAAAAGTTAAGCGCCTCGCTTTCCATAGACGTACTATATTTTCAATCTTTGATATTTTGGGTTTCCAATTAAGGTTTATTAGGTTTTGTTCATTTTTCCCAAAATGAACCCCTAATATTTTAACATCAGAATAGGTCCATGGAATGCCATAAATGTTTTCACCAGTGGTGTCTCCATTAATGTTAACTATGGAACTCTTTGATTTATTCAGCTCTAAACCTGAAAAATTTCAAGGAATAATCCTACCAGATACCCATTTACCTCACCTGGGTGGAGTGTGGCGAATGGAGATTAATGTCTTGCTAAAGGATGTTAGTTTTGTGGAAGGGATTCAAACCCAGTACTTTCTAGTTCACAGTCTGGAGACATATCTACTAAACCACAATTAAGAAACATGATTATTGGAATATTCTTTACAAAGTCACTAAGGTGTAAAATATCAGAAACAAGATCAATGCTTGTATGATTGCTATAACAAATTTGAAAATTCATTCTAAAGAATCAACTCCGAGTCAGTGAATGGCAGGGACAGTTCTGCAGGACAGGAATTTGTATAGAATAAATCAGTAGGCTGTTCTTCTTCAAAATGGCATCACTTACAATCTTGTAGTATTGCTTCATATACGCATCTGGGCTCTGTTTCACAAACCTTGATATCAATAACAAGTTACAAGCTACTGTTATAAGCTACTGAAATCATGTCATCTGATTGGCTGAGAGCAAATTTGTCATAGAAATTTAGGATTTGTTCCAGATAACAAGTTTTATGAAAAGGGCCCCTCAAAGGAATACCCATGAAAATATACTGATGTCCAAAAGTTTGAAAGGTTGCTCATTTGCGATGAATAAGAGTGATGTTGAATTGTTAACATGATTGTGACATAAAGATTGTATTTCTTATGCTCCCTTTTATAAAATGTTATTTGTGTCGCTGTATACACAAAATGTTATCCTACATGCACACCCACCCACACCTATACACCATCACTCACCCACACACACAATACACCCACACCTCCAACCAACACATGCTCTCCCTCTCTCTCTCTCTGTTTGTCTCTCTCTCTGTTTGTCTCTGTTTCTCTCTGTTTCTCTCTCTCTCTCTCTCTCTCTCTCTCTCTCTCTCTCTCTCTCTCTCTCACACACACACACGCACACACACACACACTTACCCACACACATACTCACAAAAAGGTATGTTTTAGCTGTTTCTGCCCATGCATCTGGTAGATTATTTATGGCTCTGTATTATTAAGCACCTAACAAGCCAAAATATGAAATGAATTCAGCTCTTAATAGGTTAATACAAAGTAAATTACAGTAAAAGTGCATGTATGCCAACATTTCATTACGAGAATACACCCGACGGTGGCCTGTTCTTATAGCGAAGAAGACAAAGCAAGGCTGCTGTCCTGTTATAATTCTGGAAACTTCATTATTTAATATTCTGCTTTCACCATAATTTGCTTTTAACATGATTACCCTCTACATCATGCATTCTCTAAAAAAAAAGTGATTAAGAAAATTGCTTGGAAAAAATTTGATAGGTGCACATGATATTATTTGCCATTAAAGATTATCTCATCAAAATGTCATTTATTGAATTTCCTTTGTGTCAGATAATTAGCTTGCATACTCTTTCATTATCTCTGTTATTAGTTTATTTTTCATATAATTCTTGTCCTTTCCTTTCTATACTGGAAACCTAATTCCACTGCCTTGAGCAGTCCTCATACAAATAATGTTATGCCATACTTTGTTTATGCTTTGAATCCAATGTTTAATGTTGAATAATAATAATTGGATTTAAATAGCCGCTTTTCCAGAGGATACAAGGTGCTTTTCCTTAGTCTGAGTACCAATTAAGAATTGTAGAGGTTTGGTTTTAGATGTTTTTACCCCCCAAAGAGTGAAGAACTATTTCTCAAAAATGCAGGTGGTTTGTTCCATATGCATGTGGCATTGGATTGACGGGATTTGAAGCCAGCCTGCTTTCAGGATTTGGGAATAAGAAAGGGATGATCTGATGAAGATCGAAGTAAATATGATGTTCTCTGTTTGCTGAAAAAGTGAGGAGCTGTATAGAAGAAGTAGGGTTGACAAAGATTTTGAAGTAGATTTTTTGTTAAAACTCTGTTGTAAAAAGACCCACTTACAACTGTAAGATGGAAGTGATATCTCTAAACCAATTTTGTATCAGAAATGTTTGATTTAAAGTTAGCTTTAGTAGTTTTAGAGTGAAAGAATTTATTGAGCCACATAAGCAGTTAATTTTGGCTCAATTTATCAAAGCTACTTTCACACCTACTTTCACACCACACTTAATGCTGAATACATTTAAGTTGATGTGAAAGGCGTATGTTACCAATTGACTGGAACATAGATTACAGTCTGATTTTAAAGTTAATCTAGAATATATTTTGAATATGAAATGGGTATCTTAGCGATTGACTGGAACATTGATTACAGTCTGATTTAAAAGTTAATCTGGATTATAATTTAAATGTCGAAGTGTTAAGTTAGCAAGTGACTGGAACATAGTGTACAGTCTGAAATGAAAGTTAACCCTGAATATATGCAATGTGAAAGGGGTATGTTAACATTTGACTAAAACAAACATGTAGATGGAATTCTGATAATTGTTAGTGTGAATACAGTCCGATCTGAAAGGAGTTCATTTAACTATATAAGCTACATGTGTAGGGGTGTGAACAGTATATTCCGATACTCAAGTAACCCTGAATATATCAAATGTGAAAGGGGTATGTTAGTGACTGACTGGAACATAGATTACTGTGTGATTTTAATGTTAACTGGTATATATTGTAATATGTGAAAAGGATATGTTAGCGATTGACTGCAACATAAGTAAAGGTTTGAGTTTTAAAGTTAACCTGGACTATTTCAAATGTGAAAGGGGTATGTTAACATTTGACTAGAACATGCATTCAGGTAAAAGAACGAAATTAAAGCAGCCCTGAATATATCAAATGTGAAATGGGTATGTTAGCGATTGACTGGAACATAGATTAAAGTCTGTGTTTTTAAGTTAACCAGGACTATCTCAATTGTGAAAGTTGTATGTTAACATGCATTCAGATAAAAGAACGATATTAAAGCAGCCCTGAATATATCAAATGTGAAAAGGGTACGTTAGGGTCTGACTGGAACATAGATTAAAAGTCTGATGAGGGATGTAGATGTAGGCGCCACGTAATACAACTTGTAATGAGTGAGATTGGAGGCATAATGAATATGCCATTAGACGTAACCTGATTTACAGGTACTGACTTCGACACACTCTTCCGAGTAAAGATTCTCTCTTAAAGGAACCAGTCAGCATTACATTTCTTAAGAATATGGTCAGGTAAATAAAAGTCAGAGTTGTCTTTAGATGATGTTATCTGATCGGGATAAGTCAGCATTGCAAACATATCATTAAAGAGGAAGTCTACCCTGTTACTAAGTTGGTGTTAATAAAAGCAGAAAAATGAGAGAAACAAAAGTGAAAGTTTGAGCAATATCCAATTCCAAATAGGAAAGTTATGAATTTTGAAGTTGTCATCAGTGAAAGAGAAATTGGCAGCAGTATCAGAGTTTATATTCCATATACTAAGAATCTTGCTCTACGATTGGTCAAAAGTAAATCACGTGATGAAAGATAGTTCGCCCATTATTGATGGGAGAAGCAAAAAGTTTGTTACACTGTGTAGATAGTACTACTATCTACACAGTGCAACGCACTTTCACTGAAGATTATCCAAAAGCGCACTATAACAGGCGTAATTAAGCGCGCATTACCAATGAGCGCAATTAAAGCAAACACATGCGCGTACCGTACCCTCAAGGGGTTGGGTTAAACTTTTAACTTTTTTGGTGTGAATTCGAACTGGTGTCTTTCATGTAAATGCATACACGTCCTTTTCTTTTTGTAGTTAAATTGTTTTAGATGTGGAATATAAAGCAAATAATCACCTTTTGGTTTCAGGCGATGGCAAACTATCACTCCCTCGTCGATCAGAATGTATACGCTATCTTTCCGAAGCGATCCAGATCGCCTCGGCAGTGATAGTTTGTCCCATCACCTTCACCAACGGTAGTTATTTGCTTAATAACTTCCCTCTGGCTCGGTTGGATTGCCCTCTCTTTAGCCAATACATCGTTATCAATATTTTAAATTTACTATCTCATTTTTCTTTCTTTCTTTCTCACAGGCCTTATTATATTCCATTTCATAGTACTACTAGCCCTTTCTATTCTCACATGGTGCGTATGGGACCGAGCGGGGCAGAGCTTCGTCAAATTAAAAAAGACGGAGAAGGAACGGAACATCAAGAGAACAGCCAGCAGGGTCGAGAGGAATCTACAGAGGGAGCTGTAAGTATGCTCATCTGAAGAAATTATTTTTATGGAAAACTGTTAAAGCCAATATTTTGGTATTTTGGATTTTGTATTTTTGCAGGTGACAGGGACAGTTGTTTTTTGCGTTAATTAACCCAAGCTACTTACATGATTGCAGCGTGCATTGTTAGCTCATTTTCACATGATTTGAATGTGTGACCCTACAATGATTTGCAAAAGTTGTGAAAATATGGGGTTAGGTTTGTTTGTTTTACCTGACTGCTTAGAAAGCATATGCTTGTAGGGGACCGATTGCCTTAAGTCCTCTCCGAGGGTCTCAGTACTGAAGATAATACCTTATTAAAGGCACTAGTGCATCAACTTGGTTTCGAACCCGGGACTTCCTGGTTAAGAGACCACTGCTCTTCCACTCAGCAATCACGTCTCCTTAAATGAAACTGTTGCAAAAATAATGGCGCATATAGTAATACATGTTATACTTAAATACACAACATTATGAATTAAAAAAATAAAATAACATACCTGTGCAGACGGTCTTAGGTTTTTTTATTTAAAAAAACAGCTCTTCCAAACGAGTCTTCATAATAATATACATATGGACATGAATATGTATGATGTTCGTAACAGTATATTTAATCTTGAACTGGGTATGAATAATAGGTTCATATCTTCTATAAATGATCAGCACTTGTATTTCTGAAAATATTTTTCTTGAGAAGCGCTGGGCTTGTTCGGGCTAACAGAGAAGCACCTACTTTGATAGGCCTAGGTTCTCATCAGAAGAGAATCCCCTTTCTTCTTGAGAAAAATAGGAGAGAAAATCTGTGTTCTGTTTCTGGGTAAAAGACTAGTAGGTTCATATCTACTAATGATCAGGGAACTGTTTCACAGAGCCTCTTTTCAATGACAAATGACAAACTCAGTGACAAGTCTGCTGATAACCAATAATAATCAAGGATTTCACTAGCCTATAACAAAAACCGTCATTTGTCACTGATGACAAATTTTGTGAAACAACTCCCAGCACTTTTTATTCTCAGTCTTTGAGAAGCACTGATTTATCCAATATTTTGATTTATTTTGTTATAGTTATTTATTCATATTCCACTAATTTTTTGAGTTTATGACAAATATTTTACATTGATATGAGAGAAAAAAATACTACAGAGCAGATGAAAAGATTGAGATGTAGAACAAAACAGTAATGGCTAAATGTTAAGGAGTGTACTGAGGAGCATTTAGCTTGTTATTATTTTAATTAAGTATTGGCGTCACCTGTGCCTGGGAGGTGAAAAGCAAACTGAATCACTGTAACCCTTGGGTCTCTTCTCCTGGTATAACTGATTGGGGGTGTGCAGGTGGACCACTACACCAGGGTTTCCCCCTACTCTTATATAAATAGTGTAGTGGGTTCTTAACGTGCAAGGGAGGTGACTCTCCTCTACACCAGGCATCCATTTAACATCCTACCCGAAGGGCGGAGTGTTTTTCCACTTAACATAGGAACTGGGGAGGGGCATGCATGTAAACACAAAACGCAGGCTTCAGTCATCCAAGATATATATACACCAGACTTAGCATAGTAACCTGACAACCACATTCCATGACCCAGTATGTGGTCTATGTGGTATACCACATCGTCACAGCGTGGTATATGTGTGTGTGGGTGTACTGGTAGGCCAAGGACCCAGCTTTTAAAGGTACCATTCAGCGAATCTAACTGAACATGAGAATGGCATTTCATTTAGAAATAGTATGACTGTTGAATACCAAACCCAATAGAACTCAGGATTCTATATGTGGAATGTTCATGTTCAATTGAATAGATGATTGGAGAATAAATATCAAAAATCTTTTCAGTCGAAATAGAATTTTAAAAGAGCATGCTATTAATTAGTAATCATAATGCAGTCAAACCTGTCTATATCGACCACGCAAGGGAAACACAAAAAGTGGCCTTTGTAGACAGGTGGTCACTATAAAAGCAGGTTTGACTGTATATGGGATTTGTTAAGTGCTGAATCCACTTGAAATCAAATGCTCAAGGCCCGCTTTTGAAACCAAAAAAAGAAATACAAGAGATCACATAAAACCATCTCCAAGTGTACATTATAAACAAAGGAACAGATGTAAAATAGAGCATACAAAAAGGATTTGTTAAGAATTTTTTTAAATTTTAAAGGTAATGAGAAATAGGGGGTGTATAAAAACATATTTGCAATAATTATATTTAGGGTAAATGTTTGATTGAACATTTTCTTAAGGGAAAATATAGTACAGGGCAAATATGGGAGGAGATCTCGCAAGATAAGTCACAGAGTGGTCAATTTATGTATATATGATTGATTGCACCTTTAAAAATTCAAAACTTTCTTCGTTTTAATTGGTTATTGCTCAAACTATCACTGACCTGCTTCTCTCATTTCTCTGCTTCTATCAAAACCAACTTAATATCAGGGTCTACTGCTTCCCCTTTAAGCTAATCATTTACTGTGTATAAAACCCCTGCTGGTACATGGGCTTGGTGACATTTTAATAGGGCATCGGGTTGGTTAATGATCTCCTAATGGTTTATAACTGACTACTGACCCAAGCTGGGTCCTTCTTGGCCCCCCCCCCCCTCTACCATGCCCCCCTCCTCCCCCCCCCCCCCAATCCACCTTGAAGCTTGAAGTTTATTTGTTCCACATTTACATCAAAAACATTTTTTTTTTTTTACAAGCGTATAAGTGTAGATTACAAAATAATTTAAAGATTTCAAATCAAGTATAATGTACAGAAAATAGGTACAAATATTTAGATATGACAGGCAAGGTAATACAATGTAACATGTGGGGAGCCTTGGGCTTATTATGAAAATATTTATTCATACTTATTAAAAATTACTAAATCGACCCAAAATACATGAACATGTATAAACTGTCACTCATGTAATAACTACCGGTATCTTTTTATTCAAAAAATTAATAATTGAAAAAACTACATGCAATGTAAGTGACATCTCAACAATGAAAACAAATCCTCAGAAAGCCCCTTTTATGTTTCCAACAACAAAAAATTATTCATGAAAAGGAAAATTCTAGAGCTATTTTGATGCATACAGTGGTTTGACTGCAGTTGTAGGGGCTAATTGCCTTTTGCCCTGGGCCCCCATCTAATAAAGAGTTGTGAATGATCCAAATCAGTGGCAAGTACTCTAATCAATCGCAACTTTGCGGTCTCCTATACATCTTAAGTACATAGTTGCGATTGATATCAATCGCAAATAAGATGCGATTAATATCAAATCTGTATGTGATGGGGGCCCTGGTATATGATGAGCTTTCATTCAAAATGTTCCTTTGTGTCACGTTCAAGTCTTTATTGCTCTCTCAAAAAGGATCATCATAGCAGGGATGCCCTGATTTTATTGTATTATTTCCTCATATTACCTCATATATCTGTTTACCCATAGATTTCAATTCAACTCCATGTGGTTTATTATCAAAACAAAGTAGTAGTGCGGGAATAAGTGCATAGTGTTTACAATGTAAATATGGTCATGAAATAGGATCATTGATTAAAAAAAAATTGATTAGAAGTATTACAAATCAAACTCACTTTTTCATATAAGTACCAATCTTTGGAAACAAAACGTTTATCATTATGCAAAAAAGAAGTAAAAGAACACTTGAATATTTGGCTGAAAATTAGGTGATGTATCATCATAATGCAGTATAATAGACAAATTATCTCAAATGTATTATTACAAGATAAATAATTATGTGGGAAACAAAGCGCAATGTTGAATGTGAAAGAAATGAGTCAAAAACTATTTATTTTGATTTAACAAACATTAAGAAAAAGTGTCATGATTTAGAGAATGCCAGTTAAGTTTTTAAAAGTTGGTTACCGGTATATATATACATTCTAGCTCTACACTGTGAACATGACAAGATGCACCAAATACATGTATAACTGTCAGTGTTCCTGGTACATTTAATCTGGGAATAAATTGAATCCTGTAGGTATATAAAATCTGTGACTCAAAGCCCTAAAAAATGATTTTGTTGTTGTTGTAAACATTCTGGTTCACATTCATCCATTCATATGCTGTGAATTTTCTATGTTAGTACTGTACATTTTATCTGGGACAAATAAATATTAAATCCTGTATGTATACCAAACCTGTCACTCAAAGCCCTGAAAAAAGAAAGAAATTTTGGGCTCAATGCTTGCAATGCAGTGGCTGTTGGAGTTCTGTGGGCAAAATTGCCCCTAGCTCTCGTGTATTATGAGCTTCCATTCAAATCTGTTTTATGAACCTGTCACAAAGAAATATCAAAGCAATGATGCGCAGTAATGTCAATATGGCTTCCGCAGGTCGGTTCATATTTAGAAAAGCAATATATCCAATATTTTCTTGACCTTTTCTTAATATTAACTTAAGGGCTAGGCATTGTGACTCGCTCTACTTTCTCTGTTTACACTCTTAGTATGGTGATTAAAGGGGTCGCTTAGAATTTTGTAGGATAAAAAGATTATCATTCTTAGTTAATATATGGACTGCTGATTAGCAAGGGAGCATACAATAAGTGTTGATATTATAGAGGTATCAGTTTTATCTTCCTTCCTTTATCCTTTCCTTTTTAATTTTTTTTTCTTTACTTCTTCCTTTAACTGATAGAAATATGGTTATCAGGTAAGTAGGAAATTAGGTTAATAAATGAAAAATAGAGGGTTAGAATCTTTGTAAATGCACTTCAGCTTTCATATGTTTTTAATGCAATTTGCTGAAAGTTTGCACAAATTTAGATACAAATTACTTTTTGGAATATCTTATTCTTCTAAATTTAAATTTGTTCATGTCATAGATGTTTTTAAAATCTCTGTTTCTTCAATCACCTCTAACCACTGTTTATCCAATCATCATTGTCAATATTCATTGAGCAGAGGCAATCATATTTGCATGATCAATAGCCCATAATGTGATGGTCTGGTAGGCTACCACGGTACTCGCAGGTTTAATTGACCGGAAGATGGTATAATCTTGTGAATCTGCAACTAGGTTTACACGGCACCATCAAAGTTTAAAAGGGCAATCCAACCCATAAGCTCATTTTTAATTTTAATTTTTCATGGCAAAAATTTGCGCCTTGCCGTCTAGTTTTTGATGACTTATGGGCGCAATTTGTGCATGTTCTATGAGCGCAAATTTGCGCCTTGCGCCCGCTTATTTCAAGGGTTGGATTAAAATGATGGGCTAAACTTATGATTATGGACGTTTGTGTGAACCTGGCTCGTACAAAAATACATAATCCCGTCCATCCCCTCTTGAATTTGATGGTCATCATGCTTTTAAAAGCTTGCGTAATTGAAGAATGATTAAATCCTGTGGTCAGATGCTGTATTCTCCAATTTTAATTGGCATCCATTTTTGTTTAATTCAGGTCACGGTTTTGTCTTTCTGTGCATGGACTCATATTGCATCAGTTAATGTTCACACAGGAGTCAGATAACTTTAAGTTTAGCTCATAGTTTAAAGTTTTGAGATTATCTTATAGTTAAGGACCATGCCTAAGCACCTGTGGTTTCCGAAACTTTAAATTTACATTACCCTCACCCGAAGACTCTCTGAGAGACCAGAGGGTACTTGTTGATGGGACTTCCACCAAGTCTGGTGTCAGCGAATTTTGACCTTCTGCACATAGAAACTGACACTTACCTCCCTTCAACTACTGCTTTGAGGTTGTGACAGCTTGAAATTAGGACAAATGCTCATCTGATTGCAAACCATGAGCAGTTATTTTTTGTTGAAGCTGTGAAAACCCATGTCTCTGTTTCTTGGTCATAGTATAAAACTGTAAGATTTTGCAAATCTAAATAAAAGTTTTAAATGTGGACAGTGTCGTGCGAACACAGCTAATGCAAGAAGTGAAATCCCCTGTGGAATTGTATGCTTGTCATGCTTCTATCGCATTTCGGAATCAAAGAATAATTGAATTCCGCGGCCATTCTGGTTGTAATTGTCATCCATTTCCTATTACAGGACATTAATTTGGACTAATTCAGGCCATTTTGACTAATTGAGGCCATTATTTGTCTCTCATGCAGCCTTAGGGCAGAAAATTTATATTGACATTGAAACGTTCATTCAGACTTTCAGTCCTAATCATCCATCACGAGCCACTGATTTTATCTCAGTAGGCCTGTCTTTATCAGCTTGAAATTGATAAATAGCCCGCTATTTCTGATTTGGGAAATAATCCCGAAGTTACAAATTGCGTCTTCATCAGCTCAAGACTTGACCTCGGAACTTGAAACTCAAGCTCAAGAAATTAACTCAAGATATTTTGCTCAGCGTTTGCGAATAGTGCGAGTCTTCGGACAAATAGAAGGATATTTTGCAAAGTAGCCCAAGATATCTAGGGATGATTATCTCAACCAAATTTCCCGCTAACACCAACATCGAGCTGATGAAGATGCAAATTAACTGGATAATTTGTGATCGGGATATTTGGCAATCTCGAGCTGATGAGGACAGGCCTTCAGTCCTAATCATCAATCACGAGCCACTGATTTTTATCTCTGTTAAGTGGCCTTCGATGGGGATGTCATGGCTCAGGTCTAATCAAGTTCACGCTAAAGCCACTAATCGAGAGAATCAGTACAGTAAACATTGGAAGGCCGGTTAAGGGTGCAGACCCTGGGATGGAGGGGGTAGTTGCCCTTCTTTGCCCTTTCCTAATAGTCTGCACGCACTGACTCTAATTTGACACTTTACCACAATTCCCAAAGCCTTGAACAGAGACTGAATCTGTCAGTAATTTTTGGCAAAGCTTCTCCTGAGCAGTTAAAGTACATACAGAGCCTACTGTAGTCTTATTTTGCAGACACTGCAGACATTTGGTTTGTGCATGCAAATTACCCTTTCCTAATGATTAACTTTGGAGCATTTGCTTCTGATAAACGGATTCACCCCTCCCACCCACATAAAGTCACCCACATATACCCACCCACACATGCACACACGCACCCACGCATACACATTGTTAATAAATTTGGATGTTCTTGAGCGAGGCAGTCCCTGCTTAATCAAACCATGCTGGCCCAGTAATAATCTCTATTTGGACAAATTTTGTGCATCACTCTTAGTACCACCCCCCCCCCCTTTGTGGGATTAATTTTGCTCTATTTGCTTCCATTTAATAATGGGTTTGCCCTCTTCTTTCTCACCACCATCACCATTCCTGAAATTTGATTATTTTGAGGCAGTCTCTAGCTGCTAACCTACATTATATATAGGCCCAATTGGTTGGTGGAAAGTGCCTTTAATGTACATTAATATCTTCCCAAAAGACATGAGGGCTGAGGCAGGACACAAACCACAAACCATGTGACAATGATAATAATGATAAAATGGTGCTTATAAAGCGCTTTCCACAGAAGCCTCTAAGGGCTATAACAAACAAAATACAATGACAAACGGTTATATATTGAACAAAAAATTACAAATAAATCTACAAATTACAAGTCTGCAGACGTATCCACTAGACCCTGGCACTTCTGTCTGTGTATAATGTGCAAAATATACTGAAGAAGAACTCTACTTGTAGCAAAGAACCTACTTCTCTATTTCAATAATAACCCAGTTTCCCACATTACTCATACATGTCCACATCCATGTTCAATCGATCGTAATATGAGAGGATAATGGTGAGCGAGCATGGACAAAAAGAGAGAAAGGAAGGGTAGGATGGATTTCACAGGGCATCTTCCTTACAACGACGACGGTGATTGAACTATTCTTGCATCCCGTTACATGGATGTCGGCCACGTCTGAACGGAACTAGGGCAAAATAGGATATTGTACTAAGCCCCTTTCACATATATATGACAAGATAATTCAACTACTTCAAAAGACCTTTCACGGTGGAAGCCATTTTATGTTTAAATAAACGGCAAAGGGGGGGGGGAATATTTATGTGCCTGGTTCGGATATGACTTGGTTAAACACTGCAAAATAGCTGCCGTATTTTTGCTATGCGTACATGATTGGCAACTGGGTGCAACAAAGACCCTGCGCGTAATCCCTGAGCCCTGTGTTATACGATGTAGAAATATGATGTGTATGGCATTTAACGTCATAAAAACTCTGTGGTTTTGCTGCGTCAGATCTGAACGAGGCTTTACGGATACCAAATAAATCTCGTGTACGGCTAGAATGTATAAAATCAACCTCAAACAGACTATACTTGGCATTCTGTGGGTTAACGGTTAATTATCCAAATGAATTTGATATCTTCCAATGGGTAAACTTGATATGTATGTTTAAAGAGAAGGTTAAGTTCTGGGAAGAGGTGAAAAATAATTTGCGAGCGTTATCATTCTTATTATGCAAGTGTGGAAGAACATCAGATAAGACATGTTCCCTGAAAAGCATGGCTCTTCAAATGCCTTCATATTCTAAATATGTCATGTAACATCGTAAAAATCCAGGGTAGGATTTTTGCGCCACGTGTTCGTGTAGACCTGTATTCTGTGTACAGTGTTTGTAACTTTACCAAGACTTGGCCAAAATTTCCTATCATTTTGATGATTCCAGAACCTTGCAATACACACAAATTCTTATATGCTTATATCAACCTTTTCTGGTCGATTCCACACCGTTTCTTTCACAATGCAATCGCATGACCAGAACTCAACTTCATCTTTAAGGAGTATGAAGCAAAAAAGAAATAAAATAAGCTGCAGCACGAGTACAAGTCTTATATTTACATGTACATATCATATGCCACACTCGCCATGGTATGGTAAGGGGGCACCTGGCACCTGGCTTCAATACATTAAACGCTAAGGTTACAGGTGCTAAAATCAGGGTAATAATATCCAACGTCCTTTTGAAGTACATAGAGACTTTAATAATGTGATATGCCCCTGTAAAAATTGAACTATTAATTCTATTAACTCGTTAATCAAACTCGATTAAATTTCTAAGAGAGTGAAAACAATCTTTCATGTTTTAACATAATTGCCTTCATGACCTTCTTTTTATAGGTCACTTTTAGCATTGTTTCTGCAGGTATACGTGACATGTTTTTATCAGAGGATGAAATATGACCTCAGCTACAAGATTTGATCACCACAATGACAAATAATCAATCCAATTTTTAATTGATTTTTTTTTAATGTTGGTATTTTAGATAAATAAAAACAAATAGAGAAATGATTAAATAAAGAATCTACCCAAGTAAGCAGCCAGGACACGTACGGCTGTAAGTCCTCTCTGAGGGACTTTGTGATGACGATTAATGCCTTACCAAAGGGCCTGAGCGCAATTTCGAATTCGGGACCTCTCGGTTACGAGACCACTGCTCCACCACTGAGCCATCGTGCCAACTTAAAGTGACTCGGTAACATTGTTGTAGGTCGATGAACAAAATGTGTAATTTTGGTATGAAATGTTACTTATTATATTCCTTCTACTGTACCAGCCCTCTAACATGCTACAAATCCTGAAAAAATTCTCAACCCACCTTTATGGTTTTCTTTGAAGGCCTCACTGTGCGACAACCTCTAACAGTAAATTCACTACCTAAGCACCATTTTCTCTCATCTGAACAATGTTACCAAGTCCCTTTACAGTAGTGTTTGTTCTCATAATTAAGGTCTTTATTTTTCAAAACTGAAAAAGGTTTGTGGTCTGCTCAACAGTGGCTGAACTATTTCTTTCTTTCTATGTGTTTCAGGAGAACTCAAGCCAAGTATGAACAGAACTGGGACAAGAGGTTGCGATTCTGGTTCTGCTGTACCGCTTCGGGAGAAACTCAAGAGGTAAGTCACTGATATGTATGCCTCAAGGAAAATCCTGGAATATAATTCGCTTTTTTCCAGTCAGGGAAATGTCAGGGACCTTTGGGAAAATCTCCCAACATTAGTGAAGAATTAATCAGGGAAATTCATGAGCTCACGAAGAAGGTACATGCATAGACTCTGGTAGAGCTAAGACCAGAGTAATGATATCCAGAGTCTTTTAAAAGTGCGTAGAGATGTTATAAATGAGAATGTAATATATGCATTTTTAACAAGAATGGTATATCATTATTATCATATTTTTTCTTGTGGCAAAACAGCGTTTTTTTAGAAATAGCCTGCAATATATATAAATAATAAATAATAATAATAAGATATTTGTATACTGCATCTAGAAATAGCCTGCAATATATATAAATAATAAGTAATAATAATAAGATATTTGTTTACCACAAATTGCAAATTGCCTCTGTAATTTTGAAACTTCATTTAAATTCCGAGAAAAATCTGGACATTCTGTTTTCATGATGTACTGGTGACACCAATGTACTGTTGAAGGAAATGTATATTGGATCAAGTATATGATGCTAGCGAAAGCCAAAGCACTTTCATCATTCTAGGGTTTTGCGTGCATGCATTTTCTGGCTCATAGGGGAATGAACTATCAGACTGAATACATGAAGATAGAAACATTGCTAAACAGTTGCTCTTGTTAAAGGGCAATCCAATCCTTGTAAGAATTTCATTTGTATGAAAGCCGAAAAATTAGAGAAACGGAATGGCAAAAGTTTGCAATAAATTGGATCAATAATAAGAGTGCGAGGAATGTTTGAAATATGATATAACTAAGGCTACTGGTATGCACATTTCGATTTGGCAATTTTGTCATCAAATTGTGACGTCACTCACGGACAACTCTCCTGTTTGTCATGTGAAAACATTTCATGGATTTCTGTCTTTCTCCTTAGCTCCTTTTCCCTCAGGGCCAATAATCAAAATGTATTTGTGGGTAGCATTATCATTGAAAGTTTTTTAAATAGAAATATACATACATAGTCAACAAAATATAGGTTGTCTACTGGATTATTTTTATCTTATCTTTTTCATCTAAATTGAATATTATCCCCCCTCCTTTACCTTATTTTCCTCCTTCTCCTCCTCCTCATACCCCTTCTCCTCCTCATACCCCTCCTCCTCCCCCTCCCCCTCCCCTCCTACCTCCTTCCCTCTCTCCTCCTTCTCCCCCTCCTCCTTCTCCCCCTCCCCTCCTCCTCCCCCTCCTCCTTCTCCCCCTCCCCTCCTCCTCCCCCTCCTCCTTCTCCCCCTCCCCTCCTCCTCCCCCTCCCCTCCTCCTCCCCCTCCCCTCCCTCCTCCCCTCCCTCCTCCTCCTCCTCCTCCTCCTGCTCCTCCTCCTCCGTCTCCATCCCCTCCCCTCCCTCCTCCTCCCCTCCCCCTCCCCTCCCTCCTCCTCCTGCTCCTCCTCCTCCGTCTCCATCCCCTCCCCTCCCTCCTCCTCCCCTCCCCCTCCCCTCCCTCCTCCTCCCCTCCCCCTCCCCTCCCTCCTCCTCCTCCTCCTCCTCCTCCTCCTCCTCCGTCTCCATCCCCTCCCCTCCCTCCTCCTCCCCTCCCTCCTCCTCCTCCTCCTCCTCCTCCTCCTCCTCCGTCTCCATCCCCTCCCCTCCCTCCCCCTCCCTCCCTCCTCCTCCCCTCCCCCTCCCCTCCCTCCTCCTCCTGCTCCTCCTCCTCCGTCTCCATCCCCTCCCCTCCCTCCTCCTCCCCTCCCCCTCCCCTCCCTCCTCCTCCCCTCCCCCTCCCCTCCCTCCTCCTCCTCCTCCTCCTCCTCCTCCTCCTCCTCCTCCTCCTCCGTCTCCATCCCCTCCCCTCCCTCCTCCTCCCCTCCCTCCTCCTCCTCCTCCTCCTCCTCCTTCTCCTCCGTCTCCATCCCCTCCCCTCCCTCCTCCTCCCCTCCCCCTCCCCTCCCTCCTCCTCCTGCTCCTCCTCCTCCTCCTCCTCCTCCTCCTCCTCCTCCTCCTCCTCCTCCGTCTCCATCCCCTCCCCTCCCTCCTCCTCCCCTCCCTCCTCCTCCTCCTCCTCCTCCTCCTCCTCCTCCTCCTCCTCCTCCTCCGTCTCCATCCCCTCCCCTCCCTCCTCCTCCCCTCCCCCTCCCCTCCCTCCTCCTCCTCCTCCTCCTCCTCCTCCTCCTCCTCCGTCTCCATCCCCTCCCCTTCCTTCTCCCTCTCCAGAGTGCCTTTTCAGACATTGCCATCCTGTTCTCAGAGTTCTTCCGAGACCTTGACGTTGTCCCCACCGACGTCCTTGCTGGTCTGATGCTACTCAGGGAAGAACAGAAGCAACGAAGAAGAGCCATAGAGAACTCACCCCAAAACAGTGTCTTCAAGTTCTTGTCGGGTGTTGCTGTAACGCCCGAGACCAAGTTCCTGGACTTACATAAAGCAGTATGTTCAAAACATGGGATTCACTCAATTGAAACATTAAACTCTAAATAAAAGCTTGTATCAATAATTCAGTTTCAAAGTTAATGGTAAAAGCATGTCTTTATACAGCAAATGACTTGATAAACTTATTTGATATAACAATTTCATGATTTTCAAGGCTTGGATTTTTTTTTCTTCAACAAAATTATTCCATGTTTTTGAATGTCTTTATAGTGTAGTGTTCATTTTTTGTTTGTTCAAAATGTAGTCCATTCCCAGCGATAGTTAGAAGGAATTGTGTTCTTTGATTTTCATTGATACTTGTATACATAATATAATAATAATGATAATAATAACTAAGTATTTTTGTAAAGCACATACCGGTAACACATAGGCATAATTGCATAACTCTATGCACTTTACAGAACAGAATACAGAAGGATTGGAAATGCTACACTGGATTCATAATTGTGAGATTTCACACAGTGCTAACTTAATATGTTTTGAAAATACTTCTAAACTCTATATTTCTAAGGTATTCCGGCACTTTATTCTATAAAACAAGGGCTCCATATGAAAATCTCCTATTGTGGTTTTATGCAGTATTTTTTAAAGGTAACGTTCATAGTTTTTACGTCATTTGCATTGTTATTTCTTTTATTCAACCCTCTTTAATACTACAGGAGGACATGGATCTATTTGAAGAGCTCCATTATTACTTCAAGTTTGCTGCAGCATCGTATGGTTGGAAGGGCTATGTGATGGTCTATGGTGCTGAGGGGTGCTGCACTATGACAAGGGAGTGCAGGTTGGTCAATCATTTGTGATATTTTGGTCCTACGTATAAAGTTACATAAATGTTGGTGCAAATGGCCACATGTGGCATGCCAACCACTGTGTCATCTGCATTTATGGAAAATAGAAGGTTAAAAGCCACATCCTACATCAGTTTACACGTAAAGAAGGCCTAGAGAATCTTGCTTTGACATTAAAAATTGTGGTAAGAAGGAGTAGGAGAAGAATGAGGATACTTTGGATGGACAGTCTGCAGAAATAGTTGGAAGAGAGAGGAGTGAAAGAACTGGGAGTGGTACAACTACAGAAAGCTAGAAACCAAGGGTTGTGGAACAGCGTGATCGCCACAGTCAAACGATACAGCACTTAGAGAGAGAGAGAGACATCCGTTATGTTTATTCAGCCTCCGTTTATTCCTCTTTTTCTTTCATTTCTCAGATGCTGCTGTTTTAAGAGACGTCGCCACTACCACCTGGACGAGACCTCCGACCCCGATGCCGACAACTGCTGCATGTGCAACTTTGCCGCCCTCAAGAAGATGTCGGGCCTGAGCAACAACGACATCGTCTACGCCACATTCCACGTCTCGGTCAGTAACAAAGACGAGTCCTCCGTGACCGAAAGCTATGGGATAGATACCGAGGGTACGGTGCTGGTCGGGCAGACAAACGAAAAGGGGGGCTTGTCGTTCGGGAAGAGGGACGTCTTAAATTCATCAGCGGGGCCAGGTCATCATAAGACCCCCCTCGATCCGGCTCAGACCCCCGAATCGGGGATCTGTCTCAAGACCAGCCTCTCCTTCCAAGAGGAGATGGATGACCGCATGATGACGGGGTCGTTGACCTCGGGGGATGTCTTTGATGATGGTTTACTGTCTTGTGGTGGTCGTTTTTGTTCTTGCTTGCCTCCCTCTCTCTCCCCCTGCAGTACAGCTTGTTGTGAATCTGATGTTTTATCTGCTGGGAGTGTATCAAGCCTGTCACAGTCAGAAAATCTGGTATGCCATTTGTTCCTTTTTTTTAATTTTCTATCATTTTGTAGTCTCATTTTGCCCTTCAGTTTTTTCAGTTTGTTGCATGGCATGCTTTCAAGTTTGAGTCTTGTGGCCCTCCTACCACCCTCTTTCAGATAGTGACTGCCTCCCCCCACTCCCATCCACCCCATACCCCCTCCCCCTTCTCCCCTCCACCCCATTCCCCCACCCCCTACCCCTCCCTCCACTCCATCTCCTTTTGGAACTAATCCTCTCTCTCTCATCTCTACCGATTGAATCTTGATGTAGTAAAGTAAACCTAGCTCATTGCATCTTTTGTTAACCATAAGGATACACAACTAAATCCTATACTATAGTATAAACGTCTAGTTCTTTTTTTTTGTAGCAAAATAGATTATACATCCATTAGTTTGTCTAGTCGTTCAAATTCCACAGACCATAAACTGTACATTTTGGTGATCTGATAACAAGATCATATAATAACCATTTATACATCTAGAACTTCTATTATGTATTTCGATGGTTCCTCAATTAATAGCGGACACACACACACTAAATTAGCAGCACTTTCAGTAAACATTTTGAATGATTTACAATTTGTATGGCTCCAGATCCTAGTTTTTTTCATTAGAAATCTGCAGAAAAAATGTATCTTCAAATGAGAATCAGAGATCATTGTTAATGTATGAATTTCAGAGGCCTTTTGTTGTAAAAACTAGATTAATGTACTTTTTAGATCAGGATAAGTAGAAAAATGCTTCTCTTTGAAATAACTTGCAGAATAGAAGAACTGATTTACAATGCACTGCAGGTATAGTTCTGTTTCCCCAATAGATACCGGTACTCAAATATAGAAGAAGAAAAAAGTTATTAGTATTCCTTCCAGTACTATGAAACTGAATATTACCTAGAAACACATTTACCAGTCGGTTCGTTAACAAATATAGCAGTTGAAGTTAACTGTCCATATTATAAAATAATAGTTGTATGTATTTTGGTTGTTCTGTAAGTAGTGTTTTACATTCTTGTTCAATTACATGTATATGATAATTCCCTAAATTAGATAGTAATGTGGGAAATATTTTCCTTAATTCTGACTAAACAGAACCAAAGGTCATTGTCCCTCCCCCCCTCCCCCCTAACCTGTGCCTCTCCTTAAATTTGGGCATGCTTTTCATATTCTCGTTTCTCAATCTGCTTGGAAAAAACAATCAAAATCTTTGCCTGTTTCTGCGGCTTTTATTTTTCTTCTAACTCTAACCCTTTAGTTCCAATTGCTTGATCTCTCTCTTTCTCCCTCTCTCTCTCTCTCTCTCTCTCTTTCTCTCTCTAGCTATCTCCTCTCTCTCGCTATCTACTCTCTACCTCCCTTCACCTTCTCTCTCTATAACTCCTTTTCTCATTGATAATCCCTGTCCTTTTCTTTTCTCTTAGTGTATGTAATTTCTGCGTTATGCTTTCTCTTTCTTTCTCTCTCTCTCTCCCGATCTTTCCTTCCCTTTCTTTATCTCTCTCTCTTTCTGCTGTATCTTTGTTTCCATTTTTATCTCTCTCTCCTCTCTATCTTTCTCACTCTCTCTCTTTCTCTCTCTCTCTTTCTTTCTCTCTCTCTCTCTCTCTCTCTCTTTATCTCTCTCTTTCTCTCTCTCTCTCTCTCTCTCTCTCTCTCTCTCTTCTTCCTATACCTGGCTCTATGTCTTTCACTATTGCAATTTAACTATTTCACCCTGTCTGTATACGTTTATCTTCCTATCTTTCTCTTCTGGGTCTATCATCCCAATTTTTCCACTCTATTTTCTCAGCTCTTTAAAAAAAATTATTGCCTTGTTCATTTCAGACTTAAGTGGAACTTTGCCGCAATTTTGCTTTAGCTACTAGCCTCTTCTCTGCACTTCCGTCTTCCTATGCATTTTCTGGAAATCTTACTCATTATTTTTTGAGATACCTTCAACTATTGCATGAGCTATGTCTCTCATAGCATTAGCTACAAGTAGAAGTTTCTGTGCATAGTTGCTTTGCTTTTCTCCTTTTCTGCTTGGTAGTGCTTGCTTACGGTAGCCTTTCACCACATTTTAGAAAACTTTTTAATTCGGCCAAAAAACATGTGACAGCGCTTGATATGCACTTGAATGAGGCTTGGCTTATAAGATACATGAATGCTTCCACATACTTGATTTAAAGGTAAAGACCAGTTTTGGTAATGCCCCTCTCTCAAAAAATGAAATGGAAGCTCTTATTACCAATCATGTGAAAGAATATGTTTTGACTAATATGTGATGATACAAATTTTGCCGGGAAACCGCCTACTAATTGATATATTTGGTAAATTATCATATCGATCGGGCCTGGATAGATATCGCGAATGCACTTCAACATTGGACATTTGGGCATATATTTCAATTTTACCACTACTGGTCTATAAAGGATTGATGTAATACATATCTGTGAACAGCATATAGTTTTTTTAATTTTCCGATCATTGCTGTTTCATTGACATTTACATACAAATACATGATTCACAAATTGATTCTAGTTCCAGACAGTTTTCAATTGCCCAGAAAAAGATATGAATAGTTTTATAATCTTTCATGAACTTCCAAACAATTCTTTGAATCCTTTGCTTTATTTTGATTAACCATTATCTGGGTAAGTATAAAGATATGGACCACAATTTTAAACGTCTTGCAACTTTTCAAGAACTTGTTCCAAGGACACCTGAATATTTTTGTCCTTTCCATATGGTCTGATGAACCTTTGGGTAAATATATCAACAAAACTTTGGAATTCCGGGAGAAAAAAACAAATAATTTACGAGCCATTGTGTTAAATAGGTCTACTTCATTTTCTCTTTGCCTATTGCCTCTAACACTTTGAATCGAATTTGCACATATTATGAAGTTTAAAGAACACCAAAAGAGGATAATGCAGGCAGAGAGTGAAACTGTTATTTCTACAGAAATTATCTTGTTGAAGGATGTGCTTGCTTGCAGACTGTCTGTTCTTGTGCTTCTCTTTCAATAATTGCATATCTTATCTTGGAAGGATGCATTACCGGTACCTCATGACATTTTCTATACTCTTGCTTCTGCTTTGCCTTTTAATAGTTTCTTGCTTTTCCCCTCCCTGTATTTGTCGCGTGTGTTTTCCTCCCTGTGAGTGGAGTAGAGTAGTCCGGCTGTAACATCAGTGTGGGTTTGTGCTTGTGTGTTCTTGGGATATTCCAATCTGGTGACAGGTAAATATGTTCTGATCTAAAGAGTGGAGCTAAAAGAGCAAGCTAAAACTCTGTCCGCGTCTTGGATACCATTATTAATGTATATGGGTTTGTGTGTGTAATAACCGAAGATGTGTATTTTGTGTACTGCTTGTTAATGGTTTAGGTACACAAATTAACATTTAATTTATTATTGTTTGTGTCAGTTATGATGTACAGAGCATACATTGGAAGCCTATGAACCCCCCCCCCCCCCCACACACACACACACACACACACACATACCCTCTGACCCACTACTGCTTCAGATTATGAGTCGGCAATTCTTCCAAGCAAAACCAATCTCTTCTTGAAGCAATAATGGCAACTTAAGTTTCAAAAGCAGTTTTGGTTTTGAAATGGGGAGCAAACAATTACTCTTAACTCTATGACTTCTATACGTTCATGTATACACATAATCACTATCTCCTTTTCCTCTCTATCAGCTTTTTAATAGCTGCAAAGACCTTGTCCCTTTCATTATTCTCATATAAACAATTGAGACGTTTGTTTTGAAAGCAGACTTGGTTTCTAAATGTGTGGTCAATAACAGTAAAGGCAATGTGTAGTTTACAAATGTATGCATCGTGCCTTGTACATGCATATTGAAACTGCACTATCTTAATTTGCAGTGATAATGATAGTGATACCAGACTTTTGAAAATAATCATGTGTGTATTCTAGATGATATTCAGCGAGTCACGTTTTGTAATGTGATTGTTTTTTTTTAAACTGATTTGTTTCTTGTATATTCATGAATTTGATAGTGCATATTAACGTTATGTGTATTGTTTAATAATCACACATTTATTGTAGTGCTCTGTATGACCTCCTGTACATACTGTTCACTGTATTGTACTAAAACCCTTAGACAATAGGTCATTATAATCACCACAGTGACACTAGGTGAACAAATTGGTATCATAAAGGAGCTAATGGCCACTGACCGTTTGATAAATTTTGTTTCACGTTTTTAACTTGGTGTAATCTGTTTATCTGTCTGTCCTGTTTAATAGACAGGACAGACAGTTTTATTGACCCTTTCATATGCTTGTATGTGACAGAGATCAACAGAGACGCATTTTTTCAGAAACAAAAAATGTCATATGCATTTCTTGTACCAAATAGCATGGCATTGATTAGTGCAGACCAAAGATAGTATTTTTACTATAAATGTATGCATATCATCTGTTTGGAGCCAGAAGGGCATCAACTCTTTTAAGAATAATGAATTAACACCTTTCTGGATTCAAACAGACGATTTCTCCTTTGTATGCAGTATATATATATATATTGTCTGCTTAGTACCAGAGTGGTGTTTAAGGGGAAGTCAACTGTGATATTGAGTTGATTTTAATAGGAGCAGGAACATGAAAGGAACAGTTCAGTGAAAGTGTGAGCAAAACCAAATCATTAATAAGATCAAAATCAAAAAATTAATAAAATCAAACACAAATTGGCAAGTCTTTGACGTATCTTGCGAGGTTCCTTCCCATTTGCCTTGTACTAAAAAACTTCCAAAATGTATTTCTTCCCTCAAGAATATTTTCAATCATACATTCAACCTAAGTATAATTCTTGCAAATATGTTTTTATACAATCCCTGTATGACACAAATCTACTCTGTCATCGATATCTAAGAAAATGAAAGTATATGAAATTTTCTTTCGAGAGCAAATTGGAGAGGAGCTTGGAAGATACATCACAGTGTTGCCAATTTGTGTTCCACTGATGACAACTTCAAAAATTCATAACTTTAATATTTTTAATCGGATATTGCTCAAACTTTCACTGACTTGCTCCTCTCATTTTCTGCTTCTATTAAAACCAACTTAATATCAGGGTGACTTCCCCTTTAACTCGAGGCTAAATTATATGTGTTAACGCCCTTCTGGCTTCAAGGTACATATGATAAACAGAACAATGAATGATTACATAACCAGTTATCTATGTGTGGTTTGTCACGTAGCATGCTCGTAAGGTAGTTAGACAACCTCGCATGAAGAGAAAGGTTGCGAAAGCAAGGTCCGCGGCCAAGGTAAAGACTATCCACTTTATGTCTTCATGCTTGCATGGTCTGATCTGATGCACGATGCAGTACTAACTCATGCAGTGATGACTGCCTGTCGTGCAGTGTGACATCCTAATGCTTTCACAGCACAGTTTTTAACAATGCGGCTTCTATAATATACGTTAGCTTATCGCGATGATATCATACATATATATATATATATATATTCATAATATATGGATGATGGGACAAGTGTAGAGTGATAGATAAGGATCTAATAAACAGATATTGACTGCTTTGAGGGGCATGGTAAATATTATATTCCACATACTAAGAATCTTGCTCTACGATTGGTCAAAAATAAATCATGTGATGAAAGATAGTTCGCCCATCATTGATGGGAGAAGAAAAGTTTGTTGCACTGTGTAGATAATAGTACTATCTACACAGTGCAACGCACTTTTACTGAAGACAGGAGTACTATCTTCACAGTGCAACGCACTTTCTTGTTCACGTTGCGTATATGTATGTACGTAAGTACTGCATGCACTGTCAATATCGTACACCGTTTGCTAGCTGTTAATTGATGATTTGTTGCTCTAAAATGACGGAAGAAGTGAAATGTTTCCGATGTGGAATATAAAGAAAATAATCACATTTGGTTTCAGGCGATGGCAACTATCACTTCCTCTGCAATCTGAATGTATACGCTATCTTTCCCCAGCTTTGCTCTGGAAAGATAGCTACATCCAGATCGCCGAGGGAAGTGATAGTTTGTCCAATCACCTTCACCAACGGTAATCATTTGCTTACTATTGCCTAAGGTGATCTCAAAACTGCACTGTGCCCCAAGATATAGTCGGGGGGGGGGGGGGGGGAGGGCGCATAGTGCAGTCTCGAGATCACAATCAAAATCACAATCAAAATCACAATCATCTTCATATGCGATGCGTCACCTGACTGTGAATCCCAAGGTCCGTGGTTCGCTTCCTGCCGCGGCACTAATGTCCTTTGACAAGACATTGTAAATGGGTACCTAGTAGTATTTAATTCTTTGAAATGCTAGAGGGCTGTAAAGGCAGCCAGGGTAAAAATCGGGAGCGCCAGGAGTGTCACGTCTGACAGATATGAGCGCTATACAAGAACCCTATATTCAATATTATTTCATCATTACCATTTTTCACAGATTTAACATCGCAGGTATTATAAGATAGTAGACATTGCTTGATCTAAAGGCTTATGTAACGATTTAGAGCTGAATTATGATTTTATCAAACTAATAATGCAAGGTTCCAGCGTATTTATTTTTGCACAGATTGGAAGAGCTTTGGTTTAGAATTCCACACACTGCTTTTATACAACTTTAACTAATTCCACTAACTCACTGAACTTGTAACTATAAAAGTAGGTAACGAGTTATCGTCTGCACTTTTGTTTTACATTCTATATTGAACAGCAATGGATCAATGGATACTACAATTAGATACTTTTTGTACACGAAAGAAGAAGAAGATTCATTCTGCCTGCTGCTATTACTTTGCACACATGTTTTATACTGAAAATGTTCACAGATTTGCGAGTGGTTCTGAATCTTGAAAATATTGTGTCTTTTATTTTGTATTTATTAGAAATGGTACATGAATATTTTGTTTTACAAAACATAAGCACAAGATCATTACAAATATGAAGAAAAAAATACCAGTAACTTGAAAGATATATCTGTACATGGAAACGATATGAATAATTGAAAAGTTATTTATATGTGTATATTTATTACTCCAATTTAGATTACATGTTTATAAAATGACCAACAATAATTACTAAAATCTCTTGTATTGATAATTTACCTGTTTGTTTACTGTATGATGATGACAATTCATATGTGGGTAAATCTGATAATTATAATAGAAATTGTAAATCACCCAAATTTGCAAAAGTCAAAAAGTTGCATGTTGCAAAAGTTCTGGGTCGAGTATGATGCGCTTCAAATCGATATTATGTTCATGATTTGATTAATGAAAGTGTGATAAAAGAGGATCCTATGTGTTTGATTTTCTTTTTTTCTTTTGGGAGCACCGATTTTAATCTAGGCAGCACTTTACAGAGCGACCCTGAATTTTTGAGACACGTCTTATTACTGCACCCTTCTTAACATTATGTGTTTGTTGTATCAATACTTTCTTTGCTTTAAATCAGGAATTATTTCAACAAGAAATTATTTTTTGTTGTAATTACAAGATTATACATGCAATCTTTATTTAATACTGGGTTTCTTTACAAATTTTAATTACTCCAAGGTAGCCTTACATTCAAAGAAAGTCTTGTTTTAATAAATCAAATATTACACTATGGTACCTTTAGAACATTAAATATTTTTCGATAGCAAATGCTTTTTTAAAACTTGACAATGATGGTTTCATTCATTACACATTTAAATGCACAACTACATGTTCAGTACACCATAAAACCGCAGGTTTAACAATATAGTTGTCATTTATTTACTAGAAAAGAAATGAAATGGTCCACATTAATTCTTCTATGTTCTGCCTTGCTATCAGTTCACAAAATTGCACCATGATTACTGGTAACCTTTTAGAGATTATCATTTTCTGTTTCTTTTTTTTTAAACATTTGAACTTTAATGGCACAATTGTGTATATATCCACAATGGAATTGCACTTTTTAGATGTTAAATAAGCAAATAAAAAAACAATTTCTTTTTATTTATTGATTGTTTCCATTTATAGATGCTGCTTCAAATAAAGATCTGATGTACATTGTATGAAAATTTGTGGTGAACACATCTAATCTGTAAAATGCTGGTCATTTAAGACCAGTATTATGTTTAACACATAGACTACTAATTCTCTAATTGCCGTAGGCCTTAATACATGGACCACTAGATTTCTAAGGACACTGGGTTAACATTGTACAAGCTTTCTTGTGATTGGTTGAGTTTCAGACTGCTGATAATACATGAACATGTAACTTGCATTCAGGCTTTCAGCTATGGCTTCTATATATCCGGGCCCAAGTTGCTTGATTGAATTTACTAATTGGAGTCACTGCAGTAATTGATATCAGATATGTTTGTGTGTGAACTATATTAAAGTAATTGGGTGGCATTCTTGAAAGCAGACTAACTTTAGTCCATGGTTTAATCCACCGACTAAGTATGGAATGCCAAGTGTCCATAACAAATATTTTTTTGAAAAATTTAATCTGTCACTAAATTTAAATAAAATGTAATAACATAATTAATAAACAACATTATATACCTCACTTAAGAAATCCAGCCATCTGATTGGTCGAATTGCATTCATAAACTTCAACTGTTCCTGTAAAATTCCCGGTAACCATGCTTAAAACATTTCAATATTTTTAATAACCATGGTTATTAAAAAAATAGGTCAGTCTCCATGGTTACCCCATAGGTTTACATGTTAAAAAATGGTTTGAGCGATGGAGGATACCATACGTGTGCGAAAAATTGGTCGGCAATTTCAATACAATTGAATCTCGATCGATCTTACCGACAATTTTATCTTGCATTGTTGACATGAAGACGAAAATTAACTCTCAAAAACAAAAAAACAACATCTGCCGATAGATCTTGATCTAAGTTCGTGCCAATATGCATTGCAAAAGTAAAAGAAGGGTCCGTTTCATGGAGCTTTTGCGAAGCATCCCTCACGCGGAGCCGTTTTCAATCCATTTTAATGTATATATTAGAGAAAACTGCCAAGCATGTTAACGACGCGCGCAATAGCCGAGTGGTCTAAGCGTTGGTTTTTGATACACCTCTTGTTGTACGCAAGAGTTCGAATCCCGTCTTCGACAAAAATGTAAATTATTTTTTATTTTTTATTTTTTAGTCTATTTTTTTTTGGCATATAAAAGTATTAATGACTGCTTTAATATTCGAGAAATAGTTGTTTTCATACGCTCTCGGGAAGGTTACAATTGGGCTATTCCCCTCGGCAAGCCTCGGGGAATAGCACAATTCTAACCTTCCCTTGAGCGTAATAAAACAACTATTTCTCTCAAAGCAGTCATTAATACTATAATATAACTCTGACATGATTATGTTATCAGGGTAATTTAGGGACATATCAAATTATTCAAAAATATATTCCTATGGACACTTGGCATTCCATACTTAGTCGGTGGATTAAACAATGGACTAAACTTAGTCCGCTTTCGAGAATACCACCCATTGATTTGATTTCATTGATTTCATTACAGGCATTCAATTATTCAAACTAGCCAATTGGAATATTGCTAGTTTGTGTTCAAAGAATTTATTTTTTCTTCATATGATCAGTAATCGTCATTAAAGTGTAAAAGTGGAAAGGATATATTAATGTTGCCAATTTGATGAGGTAGAGGGATGATTTTTGAGATATTTTTGGTTGTTTAACCATCAGGTGTGGGAGACGCCATTCTTCGTAGCATTGGATCATGAGAGGAGTCGTGTTGTGGTGTCAATCAGGGGCACGCTGTCCGTCGCCGACATCGTGACCGACCTCAGCGCAGACACAAGCCCCATCTCAGGTCAAGACGAGGAGTCACCGTACCAGGGTCATAAGGTAAGCGTGGGGTAGGTAATGTGTTGAGATGTGAATATGCACCACACAATTTATATAGTGCAGCTACTATATAAATGAGATCAATTTGTATAGCACAGCTACTATATAAATATACTCTACTGTGCCTTGCTAAATACAAAAATCCTAATGGTGGTACTTTACAGACACACAGTAAAAACTTTTCAATAGCTCACTTTGAAGACAGCAACAGATGAGGCTTTCCTTATGTCTAGTTTGGAGCAGCACAACTGAAAGTGCAATGTCTAAGAGTTAATGTTTTTGTGTCAGGTAGCTTTATTAGCAGCTTGTCCCATGTACTTTGTAAATTACGCGCATATGTATGTGATTTATAAGATAATAATTCAGACAAATCATTTGGTGCTTGACCGTTCAATGCTTTGTAAAGAGGTGTGAATATGTGCCAGATAATTGTTTAAGACATGAGCTTCTCCTGGCTCAAGGCATTTTGGGACTTGTCAGATATATAAAGCATTAATTGCATCATCCAAAATTAAAACTGGAGTTTGTGGAATATGTCCTCTTTGTTTTCCCCATACTTGTAACAAGCAGAACAGGTGATTTGATGATTCTTTTTTATAGTGAATGGATGTATAGGACAGAAAATGTTTAAGTTTGTTTTTTCTATTCATTCTCAAATGATTTTTCTTCAATGTTCATGTTATTTGAACAAAAAAATTATATCAGAATTAATCATAGCCATACTATTTGGAACTAACAACCACCCTTGGGACGTCCCCCACCCCCCCATCACGATTTGCCCTACAAAGATGAGGACTCAAAGAAAATATTATTTCTGTTCATTCTCATAACTAACAACTACCTTTTGGACATCTCCCCCCCCCCACCCCTGGACAATTTGCCTTGCAAAGATGAGTACTCTGAGAAAAATATCAACTTCTCCAAACAACTACGCCAAGAAATAATTACCCCAAATAATTCTGAATACCACTAGCTCTGGGTAATTGAATTAGGGGGGCTTAGTCCTGAGATTGGGAGGGGGAGGGGGCAATTGCCATAGGGGGTAGCTGTCCTAGTATCAAGAAACAAAGTGAACCAGAGGGATGGTTCGCAGACCATGCCTACAAAAGCCTCTAAGATCTATTTCCATGTCATTCTTTGCAGGGTATGGTGGCAGCAGCGAGTTACATCAAAAGAAGACTGATAGACGATATGTTACTCCACCAAGCATTCACTTCAGATGAGGTATATTGGCAATTGATAAAAAGGCTTATCTTGTTTGCTAACATTTACCGGTACAAGCATTATATTTCAATTTTTTGTTGTTGTAATGTTGCAAAACACAGAAACACAACAAATTAATTTGATCATGGTCAAAGTAGAATGAATTTATTATGATTAAATTATTTTTTTGAGGTGAACAATTTTACAATAAAAATTGCAATTATGGTGCTGGTAGATAAATGATTAAGTGAAATCTATGAATACTCTGTGGTACCACAATCAACAACTGTGGTCATATTTTTTGTTACCAGCTGTTCTGATTTTTCCTAATGTTCACAGGTTTACTAATTGTCTTTTCGATATTTAACCAGATTGTTATCTTACTCCAAGTGACAAGTGTACTCAAAAGAAATTTAAAGGGATATTGATCATGAATAAATAGAATGAACAGATCGATATAGAATCGCCATATTTGGTGAATTTCACTAAATTAAACAAATATTTCAGATATTCCCTCTTTTTGTCAGTTTTTTTCTCTCCATATAAAGAGCCTTTAGAAAAATAAGACTTCATTTTAATCAAAATACATTTTCTCCTTTACCGCTTCCATAGGAAAGAGGAACACCGAATTATCAACTGTTGTTAGTTGGTCATTCGTTGGGAGCTGGGATAGCTGCCATCTTGGGTATCATGCTGAAACCAGACTACCCCTCACTCAAGGTCTATGCCTACTCTCCTCCAGGAGGGTTGCTGTGGTGAGTTGGATGATGGTGGTGGTGGTGGTGGTGGTTGTGGTGGTGGTAATAGTGGTGGTGGTAGTTGTGATTTTAGTGGAAGTTGTGGTGATTGTGGTGGTGGTAATGATGATGGTGATAATGATGGTGATGATGATGGTGATGATGATGGTGATAATGATGATGATGATGATGATGATTATGATGGTGATAATGATGATGATGATGTTGATGATGATGATGATGATGATGATGATGATGATGTTTTTGATGATGATGATGATGATGGTTATTGTTGATAGTTGGTTCTTTCAGGGGAGCGGGTAGAATGGTCATATTCGATATCATAATCAGACCAGACTAGTCTTAAATGAGTAAGTATCATGATAATGATGATGGTGGAGGTGGTGGTAATAGAGGTGCTTTCTGTGAATATTTCATTGGTGATAATGACGATGAGGAAAAGGATAATGATGATAGTGGCAATGAAGATGATGATGGTGATGGTGATGGCAAATATACAGAACATAAAACAGTAAAAACCAAAGCCATAGTACATTATGATTACAGCTAATAATTCAGTCTAATCTAAATGACATTACCGGTACATTATCATTTTTTCTTTTTCTTTTTTAAGATTTTTTATTTCTCAACTCAAGTACTACTTATAAGCACATGCATAAACAAAACAAAACATTAAAGTGCCTTCAAAACAGTTTTAAAACACTTTATAAAATACATTTATATTAATTTCCTTATAGTTCTTGACACAAAACACAAAACATTACATTATCTTGTAGAATGAAGCTTAACTTTCAAACACCTTCAATTGCTCTCTTCACCACCTCCAGCAAGGAAGCATCTGAGCATGCTGCTGAGTTTGTAACCTCTCTAGTGGTTGGTAAGGATGTTGTAGCTAGGATCGGTCTATCTCAGATGGAATTCCTCCGAGCTGATCTCCTCAACTGCATTAAGATGTGCAGAGACCCCAAGGTAGGCCAAAGTGCTTGATTTAATATATAGGATTGTCAAAGCTCACTCCACTTTCGTATAATAATAATCCACCGAGAATGACTTTTTGTTGATTAATTTTCCTGAGTAATATGTATATATATTTATGCAATTGCAATACACCCATCAAATTGATTAAACTTGCAATTTCACACCTATTCTAACAGGTTGATAATAGTTTTTTTTTGTTAATGAACCTGTTAAAACAACTTAATGTAAATGTTCACTAGCTTGTTTCATTTTTGTTATATTTTATTATGAATGTGACAATTTTTTTCCATATTTTAGATCATGAATAAAACAAAAAATGTAGTAAATTTGAAATGAATTAACATTTAATGATAATCTAGATTGAAGAAGTAAGCCATTGCACACAAAAATGCTTTTTATGATGAAAATATACGTTATTTGGAGTTATTCATCAACTTAAATTTCACAAAATCCAATCAGTATATTTGGGTTGCAAATTGTAATAGTATGAAATACCATGATGTTTATGCCCAGTATATTTATGGAAGAAAAGTATTACCTAAGTGGTGAGTTTTTTAAGCAAGAACATGCTTTGGGGGTTTGTGCTGAACCTGTGCCATTTTGAAAAAGACTTTTCATCCAAGTCTTAATATTTGTTCAATATTGCAAAGGTTTTGTAGTCCTAATTTTGGTATTATATGGAGAGTAAGAAAAGAATTCTAGCTAGGAAAAAGAAAAACAGTACTTAGGTTTTATGAATTTTTCTAACTTATTTTCTTGAAATAACACAGCACCTCTGAATAAAACTTTTAAAAACAGGGCCCTCTCCACGGTTCGCTTTAATGAAAACCTCTCTATTTCCAAGGTTCAATTTTTTAGCAAACCTCAACCTGCATGCTGTTATACCAAAACATGCTTAAAGTTTATATCATTATTTGTAAGTTGTGACTCTTTCTCCTCCTTCAATATCTGTTCCACATTTCCTTCCACTAGTGGAGAGTTATAATGGGTGAGCTGCTCTGCTGCTGTACGGTCCACTCCAAGAATCTAGCCCCTGTCGAAGACGTGGATGCGCCGTCTCCAAATCCATGCCGACTCGACAAAGCCTTTCATCCCACCAACCACGCCCTAGTGCTGTCAACGCACAGCCCGCTCTTTTTACCGGGGAGGGTGCTGCAGATCGTCCGGAATAACCACAAGAGAGAGGGGTAAGATTACTAATAATGATGAAACCCTTTTTTTAATTGTGTTTTTTTTAAATACTGTTTTTTAGAAGAAAAAAATATAATTAAGCATTTAAAACTGAGAAATATCAGCTCAAAGAGGGAGTAAAAAAATTGAAAAAAAGTATTTAAAAAAAGAAGAAGAAGATTTCCGACCAACCGACCCATGTTTTGGCTCCTAAAGGGCAATACAACATTTTTTTTTAGGCCCAATTATAGCGCATAACACATAGGCATAGTTGCATGTCTCTATGCGCTTTACAGAACAGAATACAGAAGTAGTGGAAATGGTGCACTGGGTTCATAATTGTGAGAGTTTAAGAAGCTGATTAGAATGTGTACAACACAAATTCTACACACAAGCCCCCTTCCTGGACAAAAGATATGAAAATGAATGCCAGCATTAATTATGGGCATGTGTCCATCCCAAGTGCCTATAAAAAGTAAATAGTACGTGCTTATAAAACGAACTGAAATATTTATTAATTTGTTAAAACTGTGTACTTTGTTGTAAACTGACTTGAAGGGAGCCAGTGTATTGGTTTCCATGCCAGTATAGATATATTTAGGGTGTAGATAAATAAAAGAATGTTTTTTTTTAAGGAAAAAGAAGTAAATAAACAAGTGTAATGTTAAATGTATATATTAATCTCACAGGAAGTACCCAAGACTGTCTGTTAAAGCTACTGAGCATTTTAAACAGTAAACAAGATCCTTTAAATGAAAGATACTGGTCTAGGTAAATAATAATAATAATTACGTTTATATGGCCCTTAATACAGGCATTTCTAAGCGCACAGGTGGTACTGCCTAACTCAGTATAAATATTCAACATGTTTAATAAATTTAAAGCAACAAAATAGAATAAAATATTACTAATACAATACAATTCAGTTAAATGGAATTAACTACTTGTGTGCGCCTCCAGTATACTATAACTGATGAAAAAGGTGGGTTTTGAGTGATTCAACGGATGGGGCATTTTGAATAAAAATGTGGTCTCTGTACAAAGGCGGTATTTTTATACAGGTCGTCTTTCCATACCAGTGGTTTCTAAAGCAGGCTTAATCATGTGCACGTACATGCAAATTCAAGATTGGATCGAATATCCACTCAATAATTTATTTATCTTTCTCTTGCCACCCAGTATCAGCAGGAAAGACTGTGCCTACTACGGTATCTGGAGGGATCTAGAGGACTTTAGTGAGGTTCTCATCTCTCCAGTCATCATCAAGGACCATCTGCCAGGAGGTGTCATGACTGCTCTCAATGGGGTCTGTATATTCTGGTCCAGGAACTATGACCTAGCTAGTCTAAAGTAGCCTATTAAGTAGTCATTTGAAATGGCCAACTTGGAATTCATAAACTTGACGAGGGTTTAATCTGTCTTAATTGTCAAAGACCATTTACCAGAAGGTATCACATGTATGACAGCTCGTGAAAAGCTTTGTACTCTGTAAAGCCCCAGGAACTACAACATAGTCTAAACATAGCCCTATCCAGGCTCTAGTGGTCTAATCTAGTCTTAACTCTTGAATATGTGAGCTCATGAATACATGCAAGTTGAGTAAGGTTCAGTTTCTTCTGTCATTTTCAAGTATCATTAACTTCATTGGATTCTTGATAAGGTTCTTGATAAGAACTCTAGACCTGTGTAAGTACTCTCACCAGGTCTAAACTAGTTTGTACATATTTCAAAAAAAGAACTTCTCCAAGGAAAGGGTGTAATGAATTTAGTATTTAGATGCTTGAATTTCTGCATCAAGCATAGTGTTGGTTAAAAATTACTACCAGCTAGGGGCCCATTTCACAAAGCCCTTTTTTCAGTGAAAAATGACAAAAATCAGTGACAAATCTGCTGATAACCAATCAGAAGTAAGGATTGCAGTAGCTTATAACAAAAACTGTCATTTGTCATTGATGACAAGTTTTGTGAAACGCCCCCCAGGTCTTGCTCCACTAATTAAGCCATGTCTTTTATTTCTTTCGCTCTTTAATAGTGCATGGAGTATGGCAAGAGGCATGGCCTACCGAAGCGCTTTTCGCAGGTCGGCAGGACCCCGATGAGTCCCCCTTCTCCGAGTCAAGATTTCAACCAACCACCCTCGTCATCGTCGTCCCGGTCGTCCTACCTCCAAATGAAGCCAGCCAGAGAGGGTGGTCATACTGTACATTTCCAGGTAAATAAACTTCCTTGCGTTTCTCAGAAATAGTATTTCACTTGATTTCTTCAAAATACATCTCTTAGAATTAGGCAGTCTCCATCAGTTATTACCTTCAGAAAGGCCTTAAAACACATCTTTTTGCAGTTTGTAGTTGTAACACTCCTTTTCTTATATGTATTCATATCATTTTGATTTTCATTCACTGTAAGCGCTTTTGGCCTTTCGGAAAAGCACGGTATAAGTAATAATAATCTCAAAATACATCTCTACGAATCGTCTTAATTTGTTCATAGACTATGAGACACCTAGTGCCTGTATCCTCTGGAAAAAGGTGCTAGGTAAATCAAATTACAGTAAAATAATTTCTATTATTAAACAGGATTAGGCCAACTTTTAATCAGGGCAAACTTGGCATTGCTTGAAGAGGTTTCAAGATCATTGCTTCATCTAAATAGACACAATTATATTTCTTTGTTTTGTAGAGATTCATTTCCAGTATCACCTTTGTAGTAACCATTGTACGTTTCATATAAATTAATCTTGAATGTGGGTGATCTACATGTAATAGATCGACTCATGCAGAAATGCAAGTAAGTATTTGTGATTGGTTTAGTTCTCTTGGATGACTCAACCGGATTTCCACTGAGCCTAAGTTTTCCCTTGTGCGACTGAGCATTAACCTAGCAGCTGATATACATACAAGTAGTAACTCATTTGAGCTGCTAAAATACATGTTTTTTAGGTTTATTGGTTTGTTTGTTTTACCTGACTGCTACAAAAGTTTGTGTCTTTGTAAGTAACGAGGGACCGACAGCTTTATGTCTTCTTCGGGGGACTTGGTAATGAGGATTAATGCCTTGATACCAAAGGACACTAGCGCATCGACTTAGTTTCGAACCCGGGACCTCCCAGTTACGAGACCACTGCTCTACCACTAAGCCATCACGCCTCCATGTTCATTTCTTAAAATTTCTTTTTCCATGAATCTCTCCAGGATTCCCCTTCCAAATCATCAGGGTCTTCCAAAAAGTCCTCACCTACCAAGAGATGGGGAAACAAAGCCTCAGAATCCAACAACAACTTGCCTTCAGATCTACCCTCAACACCTGAAGAGCGGGTGCCATTCTTGCCTTATTCCTCAGGTATGTGAACTCCCACTTGATTGAAATCCTAATTGAATTCCATTTTTCAATCCCAAATCCAATTTTTAATTCCATTTTTCAATCCCAAATCAAATTTTAATCCCAATGTTAGTTCCTATTCCAAATTCTGTTTGCTCAACAACTACTTACATGTACCTTCAGGTCTATCCTCAACACCAGAAAAACAGCTGCCATTCTTGCCTTTTGCCTCAGGTAGGAGGGCAGTCCATTTTCAATTTCAAATCGCAATTCCAAATTTAATTTGAAATCCAATCTGAGTTCTTTCTCCAACCTAATATTCTAGTTTACCCTCAAAACCTGAAGAACATTTGACATTCTTACTTGATGCCTCATGTAGGAGGACATTCCAGTTTGAATGAAATCCAATTTGAATTTAAATTTGAAACCCAAAATTGATACGAAATCCAACAATCAAAGGATTCAAACTTGAACTCCAAATCCAGCACCTGCCATTCTTGCCTTATCCCTCAGGTATGTGGACACTCAAACTTTATTGCAATCCAATTTGAATTATAAATTTTTAATACCAAAGTTAATATGATATCCAATTTGTTCCCTGACTTAAGTTACTAATCTTAAGCCTCCACACCTTAAGAACGCTGCCATTCTTGCCTTACACCTTGGGTAGGAGGAAATTCCAATTTGAGTGACATCTAATTCAAATTTCAAGTCGAATGTAAAATCTAATTCAAATTTGAATTTGAAATCCCAATTTTAGATGAAATCCAACAATCAAAAAGAATTCAAACTTAAATTCCCAATAAAATTAGAAAAAACAATTAAAACAATGACTTGCCTCCAGGTCTACCCTCAGTTAATTTTAAATCCAAATTTTTCCCTGCCTTAAATTTCTAGTCTTAAGCCTCCACACCTGTCATTCTTGCCTCATGCCTTGGGCCTGGCAGTAGGACATTTCAACTTGAGTGAAATTCTATCTGAATTTGAAGTCAGACCCAATTTGAATTTCAAGTCAAATCTAAATTCTAACTCATAATTAGACTTTGAAATCCAATGTTATTTCATACTCTAACTTACTATTCTGGCTGAGCCCCCACACCCAGTAGGGCAAATGGCATTCTTACCTTTAATACGCCAAAGATAGGTGAACAGTCCAATTTGACCAATATCCAATTTTGAATTCCAACTATTTCACTTTTCATTTCCAATTTAAATTTTGGAAACAAGTGTGACTTTATTATTTTGGTATCTAAAGAATAACTGCCATTTTTGCTTTTTGCTTCAAGTATGTGGACAATCCATTAATACTGAAATTCAAATTGATTTCCAATTTTTAATACCAAATCTAATTTGAACATCAATGTTCAAATGTTCCAAATATATTGCCTGGTTTAACGTTGAGAGAAGCTGCTGTTCTTGCGTAACAACTGAGATAATCCAACTTCAGTGGAATCCAGAGTGAATTTGAATCTTAAATTTAAATTTAATTTTGAATATGTTGGTGCATATGCCAACCTTGCTCTTTTGTTAACAACAAGATCCTTTCTGGTCTAGCATGTACACCTGCAGAACAGCTGGTATTCTTTCTGTACAGCTCTGTTAGGATGACACTTCAATTGGACTGACATCCAATTTAAATTTTAGTATACAATTTCCAAATTTATTTTGAAATCCATTGTAAATTCACCCTCCATTTTCTTATCTAGCCTCCAGATTTGAAAAAACAGCTAACATTCTTGCCTTGTCTTTCAAATAGTATGATACAAAGATATGGTTGGCTGATGTCCAATTCTAATTTCAGACATGACTTTATCGTGTTATTTTATTGTTATCATTTTCTTCATATTGCTTTGATATTATTTGTTTTTCTTCCAATCTTGTTTATTTCCTTATTTCCTATGGAAAACATCTCTGCAAATGGTACTTGATCTTCTCTACACCTACAACATGTTTTCTTGATACCTTGGGATGTTTTCTGTTAAAGCAGAGCAATCTATTCCTGATGATAAACTAAGAACTAACTCCCAAAACTACCAGCCCATTGCAACTCTTCCAAACCTTGCCTCAAATGAGGGCGGTGCACTACACGAGCGTCTGGCCCCACTGGCCAGCAGCGAGTCATTCACAACGACCGAGTCAGCGAGGTCCTCCATCTCTTCCACGAGCTACTCGTCCGTTCTCGACCGCTTCCAAGGTTTCCCAAATACCAAAGACGAAGGCTACTGTTACTACGTCGCAAACGAATCCCAATCGACCTTGCATAACACTACCGAAGATTCCGGGGAGGACTCTGACAAACCAAACGCAGTCATGACAACGGCTACCATAGAATCAAGGCCTTGTAACCATGACAACAAGATGGAAACATCTGTTAAGACTTCACCATCCCCGGTTGGACCTTGGAGTTTGTTCCGGGGAGGTAACAGTCATATGTTTGATGAAGAGGGGAACGTGAAAGGGCGTACCTCCACGGATGATAGGTACACGTTGACCTATGATGGGATGGATCTCGACCCCGCTACCGGTAGTGAGGGGGGCACCGATTCACCCCTCTCATCAAGACCACATTCCAGTGGTGAGTAGTCCATCCATCTTCTTTAATTTCTAGTGTGCCTCAGTATTCATAATAATAATTCATTCATGGAGTAATTCTTCATTGATTTCGACCATCTCTACACACATTTTAAAATCTGATTTCTTTTTTCCCTGCTGGGTACTTTTATGAAGCACTGAATGAATGCATCTTGTTTAAATAATTCAAAGGTAATTTTTGCCTGTGTTATGAAAATATCTCTTTTGTATTCCAGATGACATTTTGCGCTATCTATGTATGGAATTGGAATAAAATTCTTAATCTATCGTGCGAATTGAAATGAGTCGATATGTACTTTCGTCAAGATTTTCTTTTTACTATAATGTAATAAAAGTGTGTTACCGTTCATGTAAGGAAACACTTTGTAACTCATCTGTTTATATTCCTTTTAACTTCAAATTCTGTGTAGTATGAAGAGGAGTGAAGGTAATTGATTTTCAAGTATATGCTTAAGAATTCTTAGGCACAATGACTTGTGCAATTCTAGCTTGATGGCTATGCATTCTGAATAAATAAAGTAATTGGAAAAAGCAGGAGCTTAGGGGGCTAAGAACTAAAATAATGCAATTCTAGATTGCTTTTGGAATGTTGTTTCTTATTACTGTTTGGTGCGTTCTTGATCTCATCAATTTTACTTCATCTTTTTATCTTCTTCATGTTTTCAACTTTGCCGTTCTTGCAGGCTTTGAAGTTTATGTAAGAATTCTTAAAGAGATTTTGGAATGTATATGTATTAATTAAATGTGTGGTTTGGAAATATATAGTGCATGCTACGATGTACTATTTTTACATTTTAGGCGTGACTAGGTATATACATTCGTTTTGTTTTCACTCGCACAATAGCCTGTCCCACTGTTGTACTGCACTTTAAATTCTAGTGTCACATTGAGTCGGAATGCTCCTATTATTTTGTTCATTTCATATCTTAAATCTATATTGGTCATGCATCTAATGTTTTATACTTGAATCACTTTTGCATGTATATTCCATCTTTTAAGGATTGCGATTAGGGGCTTGTTTTAAGTAAGCAGCATTGCATGGATTGGTTATCAATCGCTTTTTGTAGGGGGAATTGCATGAAATCTTGAAATGACATAATGATCAAACATGTTAAACTTAATTCAGCTGAGTTTTTATTCAAATATAAGCAGAAGAAAATTTTTTTTACATAAAGAAAAGGATACACAATGCTTGTGTACGTTATTGTTTGCATGAACTGAGTTATCACACTGAAAAATATCAGTATCTTCATTTATAAATGCAAATGGGGAATTGAATAAAAGTGCTTCTTGTTAATTAATGCCTAGATTTTAATGATTTATTAAAAGCTTACAAATGTCCTGGGGATTTTCATATTAGTGATATCATTTTCTTTCAGGAAACCTGTTCCGCCTGCCTGTATGTCTGCATGTATTGAATCTTTAGAAAATATATTTATTCTACATTTTAATTAAAAATCATTTTTATAGATATTTAAGAAGGTATGGGAATTATAATTAAATTCTTAAAATGTGAATAATTTAGTTTCTTTTAATAATTGTGATGTGTTGATGAATATCTATGCATGGAGTTTGTTTTGATTGTGTTTTGAGTTACATAATTAAGAATCAGGCAACATTTCACATTGAAAACCATGCACTTTCTGGATCCCATGTACATTTGTATATGTACATTACTTTGCCAAATGTCCAATCTGCTCCAGTATTTGCCAATTAAACATAAGAAGATTATAAAAAACTATATTTTCATCTTTCATGCGGAATCAAACAAATGTTCATACTTTAATGACATGTCAAGGTATTTTCCATGGGTACAAAATTGAGCTTTCTAGTCAGACTTTAAATTCAGTTTTTTGATATTGAATTTTACTTGAACAATACCTATACTTTAACAGTAGATGAAATAAAGTTTTGTATAATCTTGCATGAAAAAAGCAATAATTTGTCTATTGCAAGGTAAACGTTAGAAAAAAGTTTAACTAATAAAATTGCATAAATGTGATTAGTTGAATACTAATTGCAGTCCGAGGTAGTGCTTTGTAGTACTAAAGGAAATATTAACCTTTTCCCTTGCCATTTCCCATAGTTTAGGAGACCAAAATATACAAAGGACCACTTTAAAAAAATTAGTTCTGTATTATAATCAAACATAATAAAAGAGTATTGTCTATTTCTAGTGCAAAAACATAAGTTAACTTGTATACTATGTTTTAACATTTATTTAATATTTAGTATGCAGGATTATAAATTAGACGAGTCTGAAGAAAATATTGTGAGAAAGTAATTATTTTGATAAAAGCTAAAGGTAAATCACAGAGTATAAGAGCAAGTCTTGGGATGTAAGATCTGTAATCTATTTAGCACTAGTACATTTGCTATTTTCAATATGAGAGATATTTAAAGCGAGATACTTCTTAAATGTTCAAGTGTGGGAAGCTTTAATCCAAGCCCGTATTAGTCAAAAGATGATCTTCTGTAAGGTGATCTTAATGATAAAAGCAATATGAAGAAAAAAAAAGGAAAATCTGTACAGCTTTGATCTTATCCAGCTTTTTTTAATAGTTGAAAGATATATCAGATACTTGAACTGTTTCTCAAGGCTGCTGCAGATTCGAAATGGGCTCTAAATCTTAACACTAGGCCCATAGGTGCTAATAGGACAAATATAATGTTTTAAGTTCTGTATCCCGTTTGTGCCAACTATCTACGTACCATTTAATAATAATAATAGTGGGTTCTTGTATAGCGCTCATGTCTGTCAGACTTGACACTCCTGGCGCTCCCGGTTAATACCCTGGCTTTAGCATGGCTGCCATTACGGCGCTCTAGCATTTCAATGAATGAATTTACGGAGTTAAGGTCTATTCCATCTACGTTTCATTACCTTTCATTGAAAGAGTAGGAGTTAAAATGCTGTGCCAAAGCCCTACCTCTATGGTTTACTCTTTTAAACTGTCTTTGTTCACCAGTGGGAGCCTCTGCAACCCAACCATACGTCCCTGAGGCTAAGCTAGGCCACGGCTACACCCAGTACCACCCTGTCAGCCCCGACGGCTTCGACACCGACGACGATATCGACGACGAGGCTCTCTTTGCCTCCCTCAGACCAGGGCTGTATGAGAACCACAGCAAACAACCGAGAAAGAGCTTCACGCTACCCGTCGGGACGAGTCTACCGCTGTACGGAGACGACCTTGAGGTCAAGGAAGGGTCACCGGAGGTTCGTCCAAGGAGGAAGAGGAGGCGGAGCTTGGATACGGTGTCGTCCGCAACGTTGACGTCGTCGGGTAGTTCCCATAGTTCACCTCAGCGGCAAGGAGAAACAAAGCCTCTGGCCTCGGGTGCTCTATGACACTTATCTTGCACAGGAGAGACAAGAACTCTACCTTCTGAATGTTTTATGAAAGAAACTGTGAGAGAAATGTTATGCCACATAGAATATTGAATTAGGTGGGTTTTTTTTAACTGTTGGTGGGTGAACTGCAGTATTCATTCGAGAAATCTGCAGGGCATATATTCTACTAAATCAGTCAGACATCCTACAAGACACAGGTCATAAAGGAATAACTTAGACTTCTGTCTAAGTTCCTTTGTAAAAAATTACTTAAGACCAGGTTAAGTTCTCTTGACATACGATGCCCACACCAGAGCTCAAGATTAGCTTTCACGATCAGTTCTACGGTACAGTTATGGAATTAAGGTAAACTTGACCTTTGCACCCTCTAGCCTAAATCGGAAAATACGTCGAGATTTGTAGAAGTGTCAATAAAGAATGATTGCATTCTTCTGTGGTAAACACGTACATGTATATTCATAGATTGTAAATGACCTGTGTTCATGCCTTATATGATCAAAACTTGAATCCTAAGTGCCTAGCTTCAAGCTTCATTATCATTTCTGGTCTGAAATAAATTTTGTACTTTATCAAATATTTGTAATTTCAGAAAATAATATGTTAGGAGCCAGAAGGGAATCGATTTATTAAAGCTGCTCCCAAAAATAAAATTTTGGTTACCTTTGACGGGTATCAAATTTTTGCTCGTCTGGTTTGTTTAGCATGAGTTTCATTCTAGAAAAAATTCTCATTGTACTGCACATCTGGGCCCTGTCTTATAAAGAGTTGCGATTGATCTGAAACAATTGAAACTCCTCTTAACCAATCGCAAGTTTGCGGTCCCTATCTAGCATGCACATACCGTAGATATGCTTGATATTAATCGCCATCAAAGTTGCCTTTAATCGCAACCGTTTATAGGACAGGGCCTAGATTTGTTCAATTCTCCTTCAGTGGTACAATGGCTCTAGTAAGATTTGAACCCATGTCATGGTCTCATGGATATTCAGTGTTAAGGTTTCATTTCTTTAAATTGTGATTTTATTAAAAATCCATTGCGTTAATTTTTCATTGGTCCCCCTTAGTCCATAGTCACCCTGGACATCAGCAAGGTACCTTACTAACTTCATGATTTATATTTGATAATTCTGTATGACGTTTCTTTAATAAAACATGTTTATATTAGTCCGCAAATATCTTAATTGAATTGGGAAAAGAAATATTTTTAAGTTTTGACACCCTTGAGTTTATCTACCATAGTAAATGCCAAATATATATGCAATTTCAAATTTTTAAATTAATTAGATAGTATTTATGATGAACATTGAAAGATAAATGGTTTGTTATTTGCTCTTTATGATAATACCAAACAATGACATTTAGAACGGTCTTTGGGAGATAATTTGTTGGCAATCTAACAATTTTCAAATAATATCATATTTTCATAAAGTATATGCAACCAGGGAGAATAAGAAATTAAAAATATGTTAAAGTATGTGGAATGTTGTACATCTACAGAGTTTAACAATTAGCACATTGACAGGTACCTTGTTTCAAAACGAATTATCGTCTAGAAAATATACATTGGTTCTATAAAAGCCTTAATTATGAATAGAATATCAGTCATTACTTGTAGGAATGTAAAATTGTCTGTACTTTCTCAGGTTTTGAAGATTATTAATCTTTTTTAGTGGATGAAACTTGCTTGAAAGTTTTGTCCTAAGTGTATTTTCCATTGGTTATATCTACTTTAATACAGTACTACTTTACATATACTAGCTTCTTTTTTTAATATCATGCAAGTACAGATTGAATGAAATTATTCAATGCATTCTCGCATGTGTAAATTAAATGTATATAGAGTTATATATTTAAAAGAATATACAACCCATATGCAATAGCTTGTAGTTAGAAAAATAGATATTTTCAAATAGTTATGAATTACACTGCAATGAATTTGTCAATTTGTCGTGTACATGCAATTGTATTTTGTATTTGTCATTATTGATGTATATAATTCCTTTATTGTTTATAAATGTTACAGGCCTTTGTGATTTGTGAAGAAAATGTGAAAAAATGTGCAAATTATTTGTCAATCATTCTACTTGAGTTCAAAATAAAGCAAAGTCAGAGCATGTCCCCCAACAACTGATTGATAATCCATTGAAGAGATTAACTTTTCTTAATGAATTTTAATATAATGGTATGCTTGACAACTTCAATTTCTACAGCAGATAATACTATACATATATTCCAATATGTATTATTCCTGTGCTGACTTATAGTGGGAAAAGAAGCAGTTGCTTCTTAGTTTTGCAGATTAATTTCCCCTCTCCAAATTATTGAGTACCTTTTCACTTTTTACCCTTGCCATTGCACTTGTTGGCAATGCATGTTATAGCAGAATAAAACAAATGTTCTATAATTGTACAACTGCACTGTAACAACCTCTGTCTAACAATTCTGTCCAATTGTGTTATTCTTGAAATAGTGTTTATAAATCATAGTAAATCCTTTCAATCTTTGTAATACAGACTTTGGATTTACTGTAGATCTCTTAAAAAGATGCGGTCATTGATGACTTCTCATGCACAGCTTGTATGTTCTATTATTTCTTCTTTTTGTGTAATTAATAGGTAATATATTATCTTATGTCTTCATAGTCAATCTGATGATTAGTTAATTTTTTAATTAGCAATAAATTGAAAAATTGTGATATTCTATTGTAAATTCGTATTCACTTGCTATATTTGTACAGCTGATTAATTAAAAAAAGGGCCAAAGATAAACCTAGACTCAATTTATTTTGTAAAAAAATATTCGTTGTTTCACTGTTTGAAAAAAAATAGATTACAGAAAGTGTATATTATTTAAATGAGAGGAGAGAGAGAGAGAGGGGTCAGGAGGAGACAAAGGAAAAGGGCAGAAATAGTAAGAGAAAGTAAAAAAGATACATACTGTGAAAGCAGATATTTTAATGGTTGACAAGGACATAGGCATTTTTTTAAATTGTTTTTCTGATGATTTATCTAGTAGGCTACTTACAATACATGTTTGCACATACATTGCACGCTCATGTTCACGTTGTTGAATTTGTGAAGTATAGTTAAGCTTGCGTATATGAAACCCTTTCTAACAGGCTTTCACCCTCACAGATATGGCAGTCATTAAACTTTGAGGAAAAAATGGCTAATACAGCCTTACAGACATGGAAGAAAGATATGTTTGTGGGAAGACAGACTACCGGAGGGATGATGCTACCAATAAAAGAGAACGATAATATATTTTTTTCAAAAGATTAGAGAGGTGAGGAGGGGTGAAGATAAAGACAGAGAAAGTGAGACAAAAACGGAGGTGTAGTAATGGTCAGGATGTGGAAAGTGGGGAGTTTTAAGAGTCATGAAATTCTGAGAGGGGGAAAATGGCTAATACAGCTTTTTAGACTGTAGACATGGAAGAGAAAAGGAAGACAGACTGCAGGAAGGGATGATACAACAAAGAAGCTAGATACCGGTAGATGAAAGATTTTTTCTTCAGAAAGAGATGGAGAGGGGGAGACAAATACAGAGAAAGGGAGGTGTATAGTGATTGGCATGATGTGGATAAAGCAAGGATTTGGGAGGAAGCAAAGATGAACTACAGGAGGGGATAGAAAGATGTACTAGATATGGAAAAAGAAGAAAGATATGATTGAGAGAACACCGATGTGAATTCGACACTAATTTATTGAAAGATTTATTGAAAAATATTTACTATATATTTCTTATCTTATTTGTATGCCTCTTTCATGTTTATTGTATGATACAATTGTACATGATTTTCATTTTAATTACTTTTGTTAACATTTTATTCATTGTATTTGTTATTGTTCAAATGTTTGTACTTTTAATTTGAATTTGTATCTTTTTGAATGCAGAAATAAATTTAGCAAACAAACATACAAACCCACAAATGCATCCACCCACACACCCTCTCAAGCACATGCTCACACTACGCACACACCATACACGTTTGTCCGTTGTCTGCTACTACATCACAGAGTCCTCTAAGTGAATGTACAGATTCTAGGAGTGTCCTCAGTTGGATACCCTAGATGAGAGCACACACACCACCACATACACACACATAAACACCCACTCACTCACAAACTAGCCATTAAAATATACCCATACAAAACTGACGGTAGGTTCTTGTGCTGCACGTGCAAAGACAAAATGACAATCAATACATTTCTTTAACATTTATTTCAAACCATCATTTTATTATTCATGATTTCCACATCGCAAAAACTTTAATATCACAGGTAAAACAGCAAGCTGGCACACTTTCAATTTTAACATTTGTTTAAATGACACAATATTTATGGCATGTAATGCTTAGATACAAAAATAGATAAGGTAGGCATATATAAGTACTTCCCTACATGCAAATACAGAGAGATATAGTCTAAATGAGACTGGCTTTTCACCAAAACTTTTTTTCTCATGAAAGAAATATGCATGCATCGCCATATATAACACTCTAAAACCATTCCCATACAATGAAAAAATGATGTGCTTATTGTGTACATTGCTTTTGTAATATGCTTTTTACAAAGTAGATAAACATTTAGATACCAATAAATGTTTTAAGCTTAAATTATGAGTCTTATTGCCTGCAATAAGTACTTTTGTGGTTTATTTTTTAGGAAGGTACACATAATATCACATTGCTATGTCCATACATTTAAAACATACATTTATAAATCATTATTATTAAATTCTTTAACAAAATCATGATCACATTGCCGTTGGAAGTTTACCCATTATTATTCCAGATTTGAGCAAATCATTTGTACAATTCCACTTTAAAAAATTGCATACATTTTCCATGATGAAATGATAAATAATTCAAGGTTTATCGGAATATTTAAACATCACATCAGTCAACAGGCATTTACCAAAACCTATTATTTTTTGCATGACCAGCACACCTTAAAAATCAAAATTCTGTCCATTTAGATGGAGGTAAAAAAAGAAAAATCACCAAATATCAATAAAAAAGACCTGAATCTAAAATGCCTAATTAATGCCAAATGAAACAGTCACACAACTTTGGCACATTTACAAGTGAACTTGATTAAACAAAATAATTCAGGTCTATGCCAAAAATTAAAATAACAGCTGATATAATCCACAGCTTGCAGCAACATAAACATCAAATAAGAAATAAATATACTTTAGACAAAAATGTTAATTATTATGATGTAACAAAAAGATCTGACTAAAAGAGCTAAACGTAACAGTTTAAAAAAAAGGTTATTCCTTTCTGAAATTTATAACTATAAACTTGATTATGATGAAAACATACAGAGCAGAGGTCCATTTACAAATACATATACTAGGTACTATTCAAATCCAAAACTTATTAGAACATTATGTATCTTTCTCTGGCAAGACATGTATGTTTCTCAACTTAATTTTCATACTTAATTAGTTTTATCAAACTCCAGAAATTGATTTTTAAAAAATTACATTACTTATTAAAATTCATAATGTACTTTGTTCTCAATATTTTCTCTTGGTTTGACCTCGTCTCATCCTTACCATTTGATCTACATGTAGATACATATATTTACCATAATTACCATGTTCCAACTGAAAAGTAGTTGACATTTTCATTATAGCCACTAGTTTTATACATAGAAAAAAATATTCATTATACATGCTGTTATATATAATCCTACATTGTCATAAATGCCCCTAGTTTTGCATATCAGAAACCGCCTTCATCTTCTCCGGACCCCATGGAAGAACAGGCGTATTTTGTTAATACGCCTGAAATGAGCTATCCGCCGTATATCTCATTTATGTATATATTTGTATGTTGTGATTTATACGGAAATAAAAACAAACAAACAAACAAACATCTTTTAATAAATTGTGACATCAAAATAATGCCACCCATTTCTGGTTTGGTATCAATATTTCTTCCCTTTCTTTGACATAATTTTAAAACATACAATAACTTGAACATACAAGACAATTAACTGCTTCTGAACATATTTTTGCTGTTGGAAATGTATTAAATAACATATGTATTTAATAATATACTTCATGACAGTTTGTTACACTTAAATAATCCCTTAGTATTTTCGAATCACATTCAGTGATTATGTTACCCCTAGTAATATATAAATCTAAAAATGATGATAGCACTTTTTTTAATGCTGCACCTTCAAAATTATCTCAATGTACCAACAGAAGAAAACATTTTCTTATGATATATTTGATAACAGATTTTTAAAAAGGTAACTTTAAATTGGCATCTTCTGTCCACAGATGACAGCGTGAACTAACAGGAAGCTGCAAGGAATTGTGGGATAGGGTTGATGGTCACATGTTTCTTGGCGTCATGGGTGTGGTCATCAAAGAAGACGTCTCGAGCCTTGATGCTCCTGTAATAATGAAAAAAATGAAATAGAATAGAATACTTAACATTCAATGTCATAAAACAATAAACTGTCTTAAATGTAAATATACATACATGGCAAAATCCAAAGTTATCAAATATACACATTTTACACATATAAAGAGGTGTACGCGATACAGTAGGTCAAATCATATAGACCGGTTGTGTATATATTACACATTTAAAAAAGCAAAGTACACTTTAAAATTCTTAAATTGGCAACATAATGAGAGATTGAAAATTCTTTTTTTTTTAAAATCAAAAGTAGCAATTTTTCCCAGCTTTTCAATGTATTTTTGCCTGTGTATATTGTTTTCAGAGACATTAATACTTTCTATTTTAACAACATGTATAGCCCTAAATTGTTGCCAATTGGAAGTACAATATGTGATTAATTTAGCCCTAGAAATAACCTGCTGTCCTGAAAGGGTTAGAAAATAAAATCCTACCTTGCAACGTATGGATGAAGGCTCCTTAGCTCGTGGGTGGTATCCAGGGTGGGGCCATAGGAGTGGACAGAGGTGCTCTTGGTGTAACCGTCGGGTAGCTGTTTCATCACGGCTCCGAACGTCCTTCCAGCCCTCGCTCTGCCCTTGGTGTTCATGTCGTAGAACCTAGTTGAAAAATCAAGGAAAATGGTAGTTTGAATACATAGAATACATGATAACAACTTGCCTTTAATTATGATACTGTGATGAGTCATGTCCATGTAGGCTATAACCCCAGTATAAGAGTGATATTTTGATTTCAACGTAAAAGGTATCAAATCTATAAAGTACAATTTTATACACTTATACATGTATATAGAAACACACAAATTATAGTATATTATTTTATGTGTACCGGTACATGTTTATTTACATTATGTTCATTAACAATTTTATAAATATCATTTGCTGTTGTTGTTTAAATGTAGTGTAGAATTTGTAGCATGGGCATGGAATTACAGTGTGCACTTGTATGATAATCAAGTGCTTAGGGCATCCAATGATACAAGAATACTGCAACTTAGTTATATATTTCATATTAACCTTTTGACTGCCTGAATTCTTAAAATTTGTCCTATATTTTTGGACCTATTGAGAAACTGCCTTTCTCTTTGCTTTACAGACTTATATGTATTGAGGTTTGATGTTATGGAACACTATTTTTTACATCAAATTTAACCAAGTAAAACTAAATTATGATTGAAATTGATTCAAATGCAAATTCATTTTATGATGCATGTTTGTAAACTTGGGTGGCACTGTATGGGTTAAGTCTTCCTGTGACCCTAAGGCTCAAACCCACCAACTAGAAAATCTGACAATGGAGCAAAAGGGAAGAGCAGGTGCTTTCTATGGATAGGTGTTATTGATCACGCTGAGTTTAACTTGTCTCACTGGGTATTTCCTTCCAATAAATCTTTCAAGAGACTGTATGATGTCTTGTAATGTGGCCAAAGAATTTTGCCTTTCTTTCTTTAACCATTCCTATCAGGATATTTTGTTTAAGCCCTGCCATATGCAGGAAGAAATTCCTTGAATGTTCCAGCCCTGTTATGGTGGCTCAGCTACAGTCTGGGTAATAAAAACATGATGCTTTGTACTAAGCGCAGTAGATAACTAATATATTCATATAGTAGTTGTGCTATATAAATGGACCTATTATTATTATTATCATATATCTCTTCAGTTAACTTACTTGGTGTCGTAATGTGAAATCCATCTGTACGGCTCAACAGGGATCTGAGCTTGCGGCTTGTCATTGTTATCACTGTATCCCGACATCTCCTTGTTCCCGACGAAGAGCCTGCCTTGCATCTCGTTGGCGCTCGGGGACGGTCTCTGCTGGCCCTCGTACGACTTCTTAAAGATGCTCGAGTGGTTGTCGGGGTTGGTCATGTTGAGGTACTCGGCAGGGTCCTCCTTCCTGATCCGGTCCTCGACACGGCCTGGGACCTGGTCCCGTTTGGTGTAAGCGTCCGTCATGACGCGATGGACGTAGAGGGGCTTGGCCTTCTCGTGGGTGAAGCCGGTCTCGTGATCGGAACGGTTTGTGATGGCTGGCAGTCTCTCGTCTCCCTGTTAGTAGAAATTATTATAATCGTTAATATATAGCCATTTGCAAATAAGTGAAAAGCCTCCTCCGAACAATAGATACATAGATCTAGCTTAAGAGAAATATCTCTTTCATTTTAAGCTTTAAGCAGATGATAATTCAAAAAGATAACCATTCCTGTCAAACTCATTGCTATCTTGCACTTTTGTTGTTGACAACTTTGACAGCTAGTACACCGTATGCAGAGTTTGTTTAGTTAACTTCATTGCTCTAACTTTTGAAACAACTACTCGACTGATATATATTGTAGTATATTTGATTCTTCCTAACTAACATTTGCAGAAAATTAAAAACTTTAAAAGCATTTTTTGATATTTATTTGCATTCATACTTGATTAAACATCGAGACATAATCTTTGTTTACCTAAAATCATGGAGGAATTACGACATATGAGCTCAATTTAAATGAAAGTGATGGTTATTTTTCTTACCGATGGTTGTTGTGATGGTAAGAAATCGGTCTTCATAATGCTGTTTCCTGTTGGTCTGTTGGTCCATGTTCCCTGTAAGAAATAGACAATAAATGCTCAATATGATACCATAAAATATGATAAAAAATAACAATGTAATATATAATAATTAGGTAATATTAGACAGTTAAAATGAGATGCTATGTCTCTGAAAACATTAAAAAAGGGTGGGAATTTTGTCAAAAAGGTTGAAAAAATACAAAATTTGACGGAAAAACAATGATTTTGAATTTCAGGGTTTCAAGCTTATTTTTCTTTAAAAAATGAATGCCCGACAACAAATGCAAAATACATAGTCATGAAACAAAATAGGACGTAGTACGTGCAGACATTTTTGTCCTACAAAAAAAACTGTACTACTCATACATCTGGTATATTTTTGGGGGGCTCTAAATCAAAAGCTATTAATCCAAACTACAAAACATGGAATGATTGTCACAAAGAGATAACAAAATGTTGAACTTACAGGTGTGGTGTTTTTGAAGGGTGATCCAGGATGGAATGAGATGGGCTCTACATTGTAAGCATGAGTGTAACCAGACCCTTCTTTAGGACCGACAGTCAATGTAGAACAGTCCTCTGAAAAAAAGCAAAATTAATCAAAGTTGTCAATGATGTGTCGATCTATAACAAATTTGAGTCACATATGATTTTATCTTATTCTTTTAATGCAACCTTCTTAAAATTGTGATGATTGTTAAATTTTATGTTGAAATGTAATTATTTTGTCCTTACTTATATATTTATTTATGTACATGTATATCACCTTTAAATGTCCGAAGTCAAATTGTATGTATTTTTTACAGGACAATAAATTATCTTGAATCTTGAATCCTCCCTAATTCAAAAGAATTTTAACTTCTTCAATATACTTATTCATTTGTAATAGATATATCTTTTGATATAATAAAGCAGATTTGCTTGAATTGATCAATGGATAGCAAAAACTCCCTGAATTATTCTGCTAGTGTATACAAAAATAAACTTCAATTTACTCCTTTTAGAGGTATCTTCCTTATAATCATAAAAAATATATATTTTGAGGTTCTACATGATTTGAATTTTTTGTAATACTTATTGATGAGAACGAGATACTTAAAGTACATGTAAACATAGTAAATAAAGGATTTCCAACCTCTTTAGTATAGTGATTTTAGGGTAAAATTTCAGTTAAAGAAGACGTTTCCTTTAGCACATTAAAAGAGCATGATTATCTTACTTCTTTCTGATGGCCTGCCTGAGAATCTCGTCTTGGCCTCTGTACTCATGAAGTTTGGTCCATGCCCTGCGTTCTCCAAGGAGACTGGGTCCTTTGCTTGCAGCTTGTACAACAGAGGGCGATGTTTGGGTAGGACGCCGTTTATCTTGAGGCCAAGTCCGTGGTCACGTGTGTTGACAAATACTTTCCTGACCTAGTGTGAAAATGATTTCATATTCAATTTATTAATGGTGAAGAATTATATTTTGATCCATCTTGGTATTAACAAGTCAGTGTAAAAAAAATTCTTTTTTAATGTTCATGAAAGCTAATTTGATATTTGCTTGTGGAAAAAGTGACACTTCCTAAAGCAATTTTTGTTTGTTATCTTAACCAGACTCCTGTTTAGCTTACCAGTGCTGTTTTAAAATTCATTTCAGCACAGAGATAATGGCATAAAACAGTTGACAATAAATTGAAACACAAACAACAAATAACCATTGAGTAAAGGAATACATCAAAGATGATATATTACCATAATGCTGGACCAACCCATATCTTACCAAATAATTATTCATATACCGGTACTAGTTATTTATGGCAGGAAAAGTGTGTTTTATACATCTCCCTTATCATACATATACATATTATATTCTTATACATGTATATATATTATATTATTACTGGAGAAGCATATATGTTTCACACAACACAGTGAAGAAGAGACTGGTATCATTTCTCTGTACTTACTTGACCAACAGTTGGGAAGTTAATAGGGTTCTGTTCAGTGAAACCACTCTTGACCTGGTTCAGATTCTCGGGGAATCGATCTTTGCCGTCCGATCGTATCGATGGCTTGTAATGCTTCGTTGTGATCGAGTTATAGTTGTCACTGACGATTCTCCTAAGAATTTGATAAAAAGGGAAAAAAACAATTAAAGAGTTTTGAAATACTCCATGCTTTTCTACAATCATTTCAAAACTATGAATGTAATTGACATAGAATGCATTCTGCATGAACACAAAATTTACCCCCTGGATTTCTTCCAAAACCTTTAGGCTATTCCTCGTTAGAAATTTGATATTTGATTTTGATTTTTTTCAAATTTCTTTTTCAATAACATAAAATATTATTATTTTCATTTAAAATATACATGTATCTGATCTAAATATTCATGGCACATTGTCCTACATTTACATGTAGATACATAGTAGAGAGTGAATCCAATAAATTGGGCTCTAATAAATGTAGTACATGTATGACATAATACTAGCATTTAGAGACTTCAGTGATAATCGCTTTATAAGCAACGTTTTTTATTATTATAATTATTAATATTATAATACACAAAAGTAAGTATTGTTACTACCCGGTATATATTGGTATCTTGTATGCTGTTGACATACTGTACTGCAACATTGAATTAATTGATAAGCATTCAGTTGCCCGAAAATGAGTTAAACATATGGTGACCTTTGACCCAAAGCCTACAAACTTACCCCATGGCAGGGTTATCGACCTCGTCAAGACGCTGACTATAGTAAACACCCGGTCTGAAGTTCGACTGATAACCAGTCCCGACGTGCTTCGTCGTTCGAGGCACGAACGGCTCGTGCTTGACGCCAAACGAGGTGGCGTAGGAGGTGGAGTAGAACTTCATGAGGTTAGCGTCCGGCCCCTGGGTGGCGGACATGTGGGCAGTAGGCTCACCGACTGGTAATCTACCCATGATGACTAGATAGTGGATGGATAGACGGACGGACGGACAGACGGATGGATGAATTTGAAGACGGAAAGCACGTTGATCTGAGAAAATGAGAAAAGATATGGTATCTTGATTAAATCAACTGATCAATATGTTTCACAAATCTCCTCTAAACAGATAGAATTTTCTATCTTGTGATTTCAATATAAAGGAGTAATAATCAATATGAATATATAAGTAAGAAGTTTAACCTGATAGTATGAAAAAAATATATCATCTTAATTAAATCAACTGATCAATATGTTGAACGGCTCTCCTCTATTAAAACAGATAGTATTTTCTATCTAGAGATTTTAAAACAGAAGAAAGAATCATTATAAATAAATAAGAATATATTAACCAATATGCCCTTTAAGGCTTAATTTGTCTATTCAATTTGAAATTATTCATATTAATATTTTTGTAAAAACATGTAATTTTCATGCAGACGTTGTGTCCGGACAGGTTGTTTATCGGACAATCGATTTAAAAACAGCTATTTGAAGAAGTTTACAAGCAATATTTCATAAATCTTCTACAAATTTTGTTTGACAATATTATGCAGGACAAATATTATATGCCGGTTATAAGTGCTATACATGTATGATGAATATTTTTCTAAGTTAAGGCAAAAGAAAAGGCTTCATGTTTAAGTGTCCAGACACCCAATGATTATAATTTTACGTATATACCTGTACAAAAAACAAAAACATAACGTAATAATTACGAGAGCTCTGTAGACTAGGCGTTGTGGCGTGCGCCTGTAATCCAGCTAAAAAGTGGAAGTTACAAACTGATTCAGCCGAGGACGCAGGTTCGAAACTGAGTCACGTCTTTCGGATGGTGACGTTTAAAGGTCGGTCCCAGACGTAAATAATCATATCTGATTGATACACGTCTGTAAAAACCCAATACACACACACACACACTATATAGTCAAAGTATATATATATATAAATCAATTAAAAAGGTATAGGCCTAATTACTTTACTTACATTAAATAAAGTTCACTGAGCTAATAATAATATAACTTACATGCATATGAATAAGGATACACAATAGGTATTCTACCATCGTTTAGGATTACTGAAAATATATCCACACCACATCAGTTCAATCAAGTGTGAGATCGACAGAGCTCAGTGAGAGGGCAATCATATACATTTCTAAGCTCAAATTTCAAAATGAATGAAAATTCACCTCCTTAAATCTTTGTTTAGAACGGTTGTTGAATTCACACAAATATATTCACTACTTTACCTGCAAAAAGTGCTGAATTGTTCCCTTAAATTCCCTTAATTGAAAGGGAAAGGTCCGAATTCTGAAGAAGTATCCCGCGAAATCCAGAAGAGCAAAGTCTTTTGCTATGCAATACACAAAACACGCCTCGTAACAATACGGAAGCGACTTGTGTGTTGATGTTGCTACGAGTAACCAACATGTGCTCCCAAGCACAAATGAATATTTATGAGGTGTACATCATTTGCATAAGAATACGCTTCTATGTATACGTCATGAGCTATTTTGGGGAGTGTCGTGATCATGAATATGCATTAGCTTGAACTTTCCGGAAATGGTACAAACACACCCGGACGAATCACCTGTAATTTAACCAGTTCAAGCGGAACAAGGACATATGATTATGAATGTATGCCGTTTCAGAAGTGATTAATGTCAACGTAATGTTTAGGGGTATTCTTTGAAGTCATTTGATAAACTACAAGGAAAGCAGAAACGGCGAACTCGCTCACGCTGCACACGATCATCACGAAGCAACTGTACGGTCCCACGTCCTGATATCTGTGTAAGTAGAATTTAGAACTTGACACTGTGCACTTGCACTTGACACTTTTTACTTTACTTTACTTTACTTTAAAACACGATGTTGTAGGTCTAAGCCTGTTCATCGATCCAGGATTCTTCCGTGATTACTGCTATTTTGTGGAGGGAGGAGGTTGTGTAATAACATGAGACAATAGACAACACCTAGACCGGCTCATACAGAAGGCTTACTGGTACACTCTTTGACCAGTGACTATCAAGTCTATTCTTAAAAGAGTTTACCGACCCAGCTGCCACAACGTTTTCTGGGAGACCGTTCCACAGTTCCACGACTCTATTGCTAAAAAAGTATTTTCTTATATCTAGCCTTGAATATTTCTTTTCAAGTTTTCTAGAGTGACAGCTAGAAAAAAATTAGACAGCAATAACCATCTGATTTGGGTCATTTCTTTAATAAAACTGACATTTGTTGTCATTCCATCGGAGGTCTAGTGGAGCCAGACGTAGTCTCAGTGGAACAACCGACGATTAGAGAGACTGAAGCTTTCGGTCTAGAAAAAAATGTGATTTGTCATTTATTCTTTATTTTCACTTGCGTAATTTTCACTAACCACTTTACAATTAATTAGTGAATTACACTAGAGCAAGTCTAGTTTACTTAACTATTATTTAGTCTAGTACTTTTACTATTTTTAGAAATAAATGAAGAACTTTAAAGAATGAAATTTGAAAGGATTTGATGTTGATTGAGAAATTACATTTGTCCAAAAAGACAGAAATTGATAATAAAATGTGAATTAGATCTACACATCTTGATTTGTGTTTTGTTTTCTCGTATTCACTTTTGAGTATTGTTTTTTCTCCTCATATTCACTATTGTTTTAAGTTACTTTAATGTGAACATTTATTAACCTGGCTTCAAAGAAACGTGTGGATTTTAATTTCTTTCAATAAGTTTCATGAAATCATGTTATTAAAATTAAGATCGTTAAGATATCTTGAGTCTTGTTTGTCAACATTTTGGCGCTTGTTCAGAAACCCATCCAAAATTTGACCCGTAACTCTGGCGTGGAGATACCCTACTAAACCGTACCCAAAATGAAGTAAATATTCATTAAATGTCCAAATAAAGATCATGAGTTAAAAGTTGTTATGTTTATTACCGTAATGTCTCAGATCCTCATTACGGTAGATAACTTCACACACAGGCGCGCGCCCGCCTGCAACCCACCATCAGTATGCACTTGTAATGTATTGTGCAGCGGTTTGCCGTGAAACCTGTGAAAAAGTGTATAGGGTAGAGTGCCCAGTATTCGGTCACTTAAGGGGAAATCACTAATATTTTGAATTCTTACCTCTTTTATTTGGCAATCTACCCATCAAAAGAAAAGAAATTTATTCCTCTGACAGGATTTTATAGTCACTTAAAATATAGAATAATGATAAGCAAAATACTTCTGAAAGAAGACGGAGCATTTTTCTGCCCATAATTCGGTCGCGCCGATTAGAATTCGGTCACGCTATTTGTGCCTGGTATCTCCGTTGCAAAGGAGCGTAGCGTATTTGCGCACTATTTTCACACAATTGCGCGATAAAGCACTGAATCTCAATGCGTTGACCGAATACTGGCCGAGCGATACCGCATGGCAAGGGTATCGTATAAATACCTCTTGCACATCGGCAAGTGCGTCATTTTCAAATTCGCTGCGATGGAGCGAACACGGAAGTGATTCTCTTCACACACATGCTAAATTCATTGTGACAGCACACGTAGTTGTTTCCCAATAGACTTCTACATATGGCTATGCAAGTTAGCGCACGTGCTAAGAGAACGCGGAAGTGCGAAAAGTTGTGCGACACTGACCAATTTCGAGCTAAGTTGGAGATCTTTCCGGGGCCCTAAATCTGATTTAATTTTGAGAGTTAAGAAAAATTGTTCAGCTGCCTGATTTGTGCAAGTTTCGTGGCTCATAAATTATTTTTTAAATTGTTACAGCTGTTGAAACGGCTGTCTGACCAAATACTGGGAATGGACCGAATACTGGGCGCGCTACCCTACATGTAGGCCTACTAATATCATCGTTTTTCCCCCAATTACTCCAAAAAATACAAGAAAATTGGGTATGTTTCTGAACAAGCGCCAACATTTCGACCACTCCTGTATATGACAGTGTGGTATACATGTAAATTTATTTGTGATACAATTAGTAATGTCCAAATTAGTTGATGGATTATCTTTGTCTGAACTTTTACTGCGCAAAAAACACCTCAAAGTGGCCATCGACATGGAGATCATGCATCATGCAGTTTTACTTCCTGCATTGATTGATGTAATTTAAGGTTTTCTGTTTATCATTATAATCTAAATGTAGCTGTAGCCACATCAAAAATTTGTCTTCTCTCCTTCAAAAAGGATTAAATAGTTCAAACGTCTTTCATTTTTTTCTTCTTCTTGTTGTCATCTTATACTAGCTATTTTATGTTTTGATTGATTGATTTGTATTTATTTCCATATTTCAAAAATAAATTTGAACAAGTAATTATACAAATAAACACTACATTAAAAAACAAAATACAATTAAATAATAAATTGAAGACTAAAGTACAATAAATATTACATAATCAACAATTTGTTTGTAATTAACATAACATGGAATATGGGGGAACCAAAAAGAAGTAATGCTTGTAAAATATTTAGTTGCCGGAGTTTGGTTCTGTAAGGATTGATTCTGTAGTGATTCAGTATTCAGTTTTGAAGTGTCACACAATATTTTATGACAGCTGTCCAGAGCCTTTCATACATGTATATAATTGGAGCCAGAAGGGCATTCACTCACATGTACAATTTACTTGTGCACAGAATTAATACCATTCTAGCTAAGAACAAATCCTATTATTATTCATCTTTATTGTTACAGAGGGGTAAACAAGTTTTTTATAAGTTAAGCCACTTTCCATCACCTTTTCTTCTAAATATCCATTACATTATCTTTCAACAGATTGTAGACCATACTAAATTTAATCGACTTTGAGGGGGAAGACAGGAAAGCGTTGCCATGGATTTTGGATCCTCCCACATTTTCACTGAGGTGGGATCGGACACAGAGGAGATCACAGCCGCTGACCTCCAAGCCCAGTAAGTTATCAGAGAACTCCAATAAAAATCTTACAGATATAGACCGGTAGTGGTATTTGCGGTTCAAGGGTTTGGGTGCAAAATATCCATTCAATATTGTTTAAATATTGGCTTCAGAGGTTTAGATGGCAATACTTCAACCTAAATTTGCCAAAAAGCAGAAATATATGCCCAAATTTTCAATGTTAAAGTGAATTTGCGATATCTATCCAGGCCGGAACAATATGATAATTTACCAAATATATCAATTAGTAGGCGGTTTCCCGGCAAAATTTGTATTATCATGTATTAGTCAAAACATATTCTTTCACATGATTGGTAATAAGAGCTTCCATTTCATTTTTTGAAAGGGGGGCGTTTCCATAACTGGTCTATACCTTTAAAGTATTTCTTCCAAATTATAAGTGTTACTATGTTGGAAGAATGACAAAGTGGCAGTCTTATAGTCATTTTTAAAATTTGAACTAATGGCAAAATTTACAAACTTTTTATATGTGAATATTTAAGGAAGTATCTGCTTTTACACGGAGGTAAATCTGGTTTAATTTATGCTGAATTTATTTATTTTCCCAGTGATATTGAATTTGCATTTTCATTCAAGGCATGAGCTTTGATATGTTGTTATTAAAGTTTGTTTATTCATTAATGTTGTACAAATTTTCACCACATATTTTTATGTTTTTAACAGAACTTGTTTTGCTTGGGGAACATATAGGTGTATACATGTAGGTGGGGAACAAAGGAGTATAGGTGGGGGAACATGTATGTAGATGTACATGTATCTTTTAGCAATTGAATCACAAACAAACTTTGAAAAGCCATATACAAAAACTTTAGAATTAGGAAATCAAAATTGTACAAATCTACAAGTATGTGTGTATACATTTTAATAAAATCACCTTCATTAGAAAGTGATCATAGTTATCTGCAAGAAATTTTACTTGAAACCATAGGGGGGAAATGTGTCAGAATCTGAATTCAATGTAGTTTACTCCTCCTTCTCCCATTCTACCTCCCCTCCTCCTCTTCCTTCTTCTCCTCTCCCTTCTTCTCTTTACCTTCCTCCTTCTCTCTCTCAGAAATGGCATTTATCAACCACTAGGATCAACATGGGCCCCGCAAGGAAACGCTGTCAGCCAAGCCAATGGTGATATATCAAATCTCATCTTTATCGTATTTTAATAGCAGACTGTTTTTTTCTGTTTTGCAAGTTCGAACATCAAATGTCATAAGGGAATATCCATAACTCCATTGATCTCATGCGTGCAAAACAAATCATGTCTAGCAACAACAAAAAAAGGATGAGTGATTGTTATTGCCAATTAAATGATAATGTTTTAGATATCGTCTTTGCATGGTATGAAACCTCCGTATATTAAGACCACTTGAGCAAGATAGATGATGGTCTTTATAGGCAGGTGGTCCTTGGGTACCTGTACATGGTACATGTGTTCCTTTAATATATATTTCAGTGTCAAACACTGTTCAAGAGGGGGCGGGGGTGTGGTCTTTGGATGCAGGTGGGTAGTCACTAAAGCAGGTTCAACTGTTTCTGAGTTTTTTCTGTGTGTTAGGAGTGTTTACTCATCAAATTATATCAATACTTTTTCATATCATCTCATGCAAAAAAAAAAAATTTTAAATATTTTTAAATATTTTTTAAAACAAAACAAGTTCCTGTATAAAGAAAAAAGTATCATTATCTGATGAAAGAAACACAGATATAATCCAATATTGATCAAAAAGACAATAAAAACATGTACATATGATCTTTCAATCGATTGGTTCAATGTTAATGTGGATGCATGATCAGTCTTAAATGATGCAGTTATCAGTTTCACCAGCCTTGCATTTCATGCTGCAACCCTCCCTCCAATCAAAGAAACAAATCAAACAAAAGGAAAACGAAAAAATATATATATCCATTTTTATTGCACAATTTATGATAGAATTTATGACATCAGGAAGTGCTACAAATGTATATGTATATTGTCTACTGATGACATATCGGATAAAGGTTGTATGTATAAAATGTAAACAGCTCTTCAAAGCTCTGACATAAACTAAATGATTAGTAAGCTATTTGCCAGAAAGCAAATATGAAAATAAATCTGGAATTCCCCTACATGTAGTGGTTGCCATTTCTGAGAGACCAGTAACTCAAGATCATGAAAACAGGTCTAAAAAAACACTGCAAACATACCAATCTTGGGTTGTTTTGTGCTTCTTAATTTCTTAATCACATAGAGGAAAGTATACTCTTCAGGAAATGCTTAAAAAAACTAAAATATTACCATCCTGACCAAATACACCTTTATTGAGCTCTAATTGAGAACCACACCATGCAGAATTTTTGTGGTTTTGTGGTCACATTTATTAATAAAACAAGACAGGTGCATTTGATTGCACAAGTCTCCTAACCAAAACCAGACACTAATATTGCTTCACTAGTAGTTTTGTTCACATTGTGTTCGATTTACATGTACATGGATATTATTACTGTGTATAGCTATTATAAGCGAATATTTTGTTGCGTGTACATCGTATGAAAGCCACACTGTCGTACTTGTAGCCACTTGCTCCCTCTATATAGAAAACAATGCCTAATCGGTGACCATTGGTCCCCCATAATCCTCTTTTTCTTATGTTAATTGAGAGCTGAGTTGATGAGATAACAACCTGTCCACTCAGTGACCTTGCAGGGTGGTCTAATCCCTCATATAAACTAGTACAGATAAGCTTTAAAGCATAGACATTTCACATGCATGAATCTGGATTTTTTCTTCTTCTCCATTTACATCAAATATGATATCATTTTCTTCTACTTCTTTTACTTCTTCTATTGTTACTGAATTGAACAGGTCATACACAGTAGGCTAATTAGTTGCATGTAAATTTGTGACATGACCATATTTTTGAGTTTGCTGATTAACAAATTCCTTTGTTACCTTCATTACAGCCTCCATTTCAGAAGAATTAGGCATGTTATGTAATTTTCTTTGAAATAGAAGTGTGTGGTTCTTTACTGAAAATGAGTGCTCATAGACCTTGATTATCTTACACATGTTTTTTATCTTTGTGGAAAGTTATACATGTTGTTGGCGTTATTATGAATCAACAAATCCATCATAAATATTACTGTCAGGATTTGTTGGTTCATAATAACACTGACGATGTATTCGTTTTTGGATACTTAAACAAAATCTTTCTTGTACTCCTATACTGTACCTTCTATTCCCCCTCTTCCTCCTCATCTTCCTCTTCCTCTTCCTCTTCCACCTCCTCTTCCTCCTCTTCCTCTTCCTCTTCCTCTTCCTCTTCCTCTTCCTCCTCTTCCTCTTCCTCCTCCACCTCTTCCTCCTCCTCCTCCTCCTCCTCCACCTCTTCCTCCTCCTCCTCTTCCTCCTCCTCTTCCTCTTCCTCTTCCTCTTCCTCTTCCTCTTCCTCTTCCTCCTCCTCCTCCTCCTCCTCCTCCTCTTCCTCCTCCTCCTCCTCCTCCTCCTCCTCCTCCTCCTCCTCCTCCTACTCCTCCTCGTCCTCCTCCTCCTCTTCCTCCTCCTCCTCCTCCTCCTCCTCTTCCTCCTCCTCCTCCTCCTCGTCCTCCTCCTCCTCCTCCTCCTCCTCCTCCTCCTCTCTTCCTCCTCCTCCTCCTCCTCCTCCTCCTCCTCCTCCTCCTCCTCCACCTCTTCCTCCTCCTCCTCTTCCTCCTCCTCTTCCTCTTCCTCTTCCTCTTCCTCTTCCTCTTCCTCCTCCTCCTCCTCCTCTTCCTCTTCCTCTTCCTCCTCCTCCTCCTCCTCCTCCTCCTCCTACTCCTCCTCGTCCTACTCCTCCTCTTCCTCCTCCTCTTCCTCCTCTTCCTCCTCTTCCTCCTCCTCCTCCTCTTCCTCCTCCTCCTCCTCCTCCTCCACCTCCTGCCCTCCTACTTCTCCCTCTTCTCCCTCTTCTTCCTTCTTTTCTCTTCTCCTCTTCCCCTTCCCTTTTTTTTTTCTATTCCTCCTCTCCATCAACTTCCCATTCCTTTTGCTCCTTCCTCTAAAAGTATCATTCAAAATTCTGTTAACATCTTAAAAATGCATGTGTTTCCTCCTCTCCATAACATCTTCATCCATCTTCCATCTCAACCCTCATCGTGTGTGGTGTTCTATTTTACTACCGGTAGAAGAGGAACAGGGCTACGATCATCTTGCTAGTTTTAAACCAGAAGGTGATGGTGGTGGTAAGGTTCTAATTTTTAAATATTTTTATGGCAATAATTTACTTCTAAGATACTGATACTGATGTCTTTTGGCAAGACGTTAATCTACATTTGCCACTCTCCACCCAGGTGTGAATGGGTACCTGGTATGGTTGAGCGCAAGTTACTTTGGCAGCTCAGCTATAACCAGGGTAATATGTAAAGCGCCATGAGCGTCAGAGCCTGGCGGCTACTTGCTCTATATATATATATCCATACTATTCTTATTATGAAGATAGTTTATTCATTGTCTCTTGCATTGAAAACCTCTTTATAAAGGACAACATATTTTTTGTCATTTTTTTTTTTTTTTTTTGGGGGGGGGGGGTTATAATTTCCACATTCTGTCATTATTTCTCTTCCAATTTCAATGTAAATTTTTTTTTTACAGAAATGAAGATTTAATATAAACAACATAACAGAACTAACATGTAGGGCTTGATTGATTATGAATGTTACTGGTACAACTACAAGGCCAAGGCTAAAGCCGAATGTTCATTCAGACAAAGGAAAGGAGATTGAAGTTATTTACTCTTAGGTACAAGGTCCATCAGTTTCTATTTCCATTCGATCCCATACTCTGTGTATATTTTCATGACTGTATGTTCACAATACAACCATTCATACGCACACATTCAAACACCAGTTATTTTCAGTCGGTCCCATACTTGCATGTCTGTGTATTGTTTTCATCCCTGTCTTTTCATCTGTCTTAATTTTTACTAGCTTTGCAACCACCAAAATCATCAGATGATGCTCTTTTTGAAGGAGAAACTCAGGACTATCATGGTGTGTCTAAAACACTAATTTTTCTACTCATTTATTTTTTCTCCTTATTTATTTTTTCTCCTTATTTATTTTTTCTCCTTATTTATTTTTTCTCCTTCATTTTCATTATTCTGTGTTGTTTGTCTTACTTATACTTCTATAACCATGTGTGCATGGCTTATTATTTCGCATTTCTATAACAAGTCATTTTGAAAAAAGGGTGATTTTTCTGTGTGCATTTGAGTGAGTTGGGTCGAGGTTTTATTATCCAAACATTCAAATACAGTCATATAACAATAACTTGAATAAATGTATATAGGGACCAGAAAATAGCATAAAATCATGTCTGCTACCTTTAAAGTACAGTATACATGTTCCTTGTCAAATATTCTTCTGTTTTATAATTAAAAGGATGTTATCCAACAAACTTGTGGAATAAAAGCTATGACAAAAAAAAAATCATCAATTGGAATATGCAAATATCACTGGTTGACCATTAAAATTATGGTACATTTACATATATAGCTTTGATATCACAGATGATGTGGAGTAGATTTTAGTTTATAATGATATTTAGACAGTATACATGTACAATATATCATTTTATTAACTTTGTCAGGGAGGAATTCAGTTGTGCTATAGCTTCCATCCAAACAGGGAGGTGATCCAAAAGCCAAATCGATGTTCATGTAGTTACGATGAAATGTTTAATCTTGTTCCACATATTTTTTTTCATCATCTTTAGTGCTGTATGACAACTTTATGGGAGATATGAAGGGAGGACGAGCAGGAGCAGGTGAGAATTAAACTTTGACCTTTAACCTTTGCCATACTGCGAGCAGCAAATCACCTGCCAAATTCATTTGTGATCTACAAGTCATGTAAATGTTTAGTCTCTACAAGATAGCTACACACAGTAGTTTTAAAATTCTGACATAGAACGAGGTTCAAACAATATGAAGTATAAAGTTTTTTACTTCCGTAAGTGATATTTGATTACCATTTTGATAAGAATTCAAAAAATCTACAAGACCAATAGTTTTTGTGGCTTAGCAAGTGCCAAACAACTTTTAAGAAACTGGTTATTCATTAACTTTCTGATCCAATAAATACATTTTCCATGTCTACATGTGTGTAAAAAGAAATATCTACTTTAAAACGTGTTTATGATTTAGCAATGATTAATTTGAAGTTTCTGGGAAAGTTTAAAATGTGATGTGACAAATTAATTAGGCTAAAAATTAGATTTCTTTTTAAATCATTTAATTTATTCAAAATGGGAAGTGTTGGGGTTCTGCTAGATTTAAAATAAAAAAAAATTAAAAAAATTATATTCAAATTCAAATTCAAATTCAAATTCAATTTTATTTCACATCTCTTTAAAACACATCAAAAGATATACAAACAAATCAGTATAAATTAAACAATATATATATTCAATATTCCATTCAGGTTCCAAAATGTTGACCTTAAATCTTGCATTAATTTTTGCTAATCAGCAAACAAGTGTTTCTGATTGATTCTTCTTCAAATAGTGTGGCTAGCCTATTAACCACATTTCCACTCTGTTGGTTTTCAGACAAAAGAAATTAGTGGGTTGTGAAATTACGTGTGCAGCCCGAATATTACAGGTCATTGCAAACAATGGATAATGGTATTTGTGTAACTTTTGTAACAGGTCTCATAAAGCACTTGTGGGCAAAAGGCCATTTTTGTAATGTAAATTTATACTTAACCGCCTTGATATAAATATTTTATTCACCTGTTTATGAATGACTCTATTTCAATAGCCAGAATGCAAATTGCGTATATTTATGTGTTGCTAATGTATGCAATTTAAATTCTGACTATTCAGATACATTTATGCGTATAAGCTGAATGGAATACTTCTTATTGACGCGCTTTTCAACGGCATATATACCAGTATGTACCGGTATATATACAGTATACATGTATGTACAGTATAAATTGGGCTACATTACGAAAATGGCCTTTTCCATGCAATGTGTACATATGACAACTAGCCATACATTTCATTCCTAAATTTAAAAAAATTGCTAGATATAATGGCAGTGAAAGCAAAGAGCACCACTTTTCGATAGCCACATCAGTGGATTCTTCATTTTTGTTAATGAAAAAACTAACGTCATAAAAGACTGAAATACACATTAAAAAACATAAAGTACATTTTAAAGAAGAGAACAGGGGAAAAAACATGAGTCATATATGGTTCCATGAAAAGAGGTCATTCTTGATTATGGTGGGAAAATAGTTTTTATGTACAGAACACATGTATGGAAAGAAGAGAATGGCATGCTGAATAATAGTAATAGTTATATAAATTTATATCGCTTATCATTTTAAGTTATCAATTTTTTTTCCTTCTCCAGGCAATGAACCGATTTACGATAACAGAAGTCCCCAGAAGGCATCGACCAAAAGCAGTGACTACGCCAAACCTTATGACTACCTGAAGCGCCAGAGTCACCCCTATGAATATGCTGGTCGTAAGTTTCAAGTCTAGCTGTTCACTTTGTTTGATTAATATGAAAGGCATCATTTAACAATGTTAAATCTGAGATGCATGGCCCTATAGGTGTTATCAGTGTTTGTGATATGGTGTAATTTTGAAGCCCTACAAAATTGCGCTTCAAAATGATCATGAAGTGCCTCAAAAAAATGTAAAAATCTTTGAGTGACTGGGTTTTGCCATACTCATTTTCCCCAATAGACTGTAGTGTTAAAAAAACGTTAGGAAAACAGAAAATTTGATTTCGATTTCCAATGATAAATATCTTGATAATCAGACAGATCGGCTTGTAAAAGTCTTGGGATTCCTGACCGACCTAAAGGTTTATAATTATCATTGCAGCATGAGCTAAATCCAGGATTTTGTTTCAGAATCTGAGACAAAGTTACCCAATCCCTTTAATATTAATTGATTAAATACCGGTTTATCCCTATGAGTCACCCTTCTGAATATGCCGGTCGTAAGTTTAAGTCATGTAATAGATCGTCAAACACTTTGTTTGATTAATATTCAATGATTAAATATCGTTTTATTTGATCAGTAATCTGTATTTGATCGGTGGGAGTAAACTTGCTTGTTTGCTAGATGCCTTTCAGACATTGGCGAATCACGGCTTTCCATCGACTTCTATGAAGAACAGGGCTTGTAAAGTTTTTAATATGTTGCCTATAAAGTGGGAATGATTTTCTCATCTCTTTTCATGAAATGATTGTATGACAGTATGGTGTATTCTTTTTTCTTTCTTTTTTTCACGGGAGCGCCATGTTTTAGTTATGCCACATGTATTTGATACAGGTTTAAAAGATTAATAACAATTGAAAGAGTATTGTAACCTAAATTTTTCACAAGACAAAGTCCATGTTCATAAAATCTATAAGAGCCAATTGCTGGGGAATACCACATGGAAAATTCCATTGAGTTCTATTGATAAATGACAAATGATTAACCTTTTTGCATTAAGAAAGTACATGCATATATGGTACCCTACAGAAATAGCACAAATTGTTTTCTTTGAGTTTCCATTTGAATAAATTACCAGGTGATGGCTAAATATTATACATAAATTTAAAGTTAAATTGAATCAAGTACCTATCACAAAAAGATTAAAATTTAAATTACCGCAGAGGACCCCACTTAATAGAAAAAATTGTCTGTAAAGCTTTTATTCCAGAAGTCTACCGCCCTAGATGGTTTTTTAATTAATTTGATGAGTTCCGTGGTGTATTCTTGATATATACAGTTTCTATCTTCTCAGAATCTTGTAGATTGATCTCCATGGCTCTTTAGATTGATTGATAAAGTTCTGAGCAGATATTAACTGATTCTTGATGATATCAAGAATAAATCATATTGTCACAATCATTTCATGAAAAGAGGTGATGACAGTTTATTCCAACTACCGGTAAACGAGTAAGGGTTTAAATGTACATAGACATTATAATGCATCAGATATGTGTTGCTAGGTAGAACAAGCATTATGGCTTGTCCTTCTTCACAACCCAGAATGTATGCAATTCGCATTCTGACTATTTGTAATACAATTATTTGTAAAAGGGAATGTAATAATTTGTAACGAGGCACTTAACAAAGATTTTCTGCATTACATTTGATTACATTACAAAAATTACCTATTGCTTTCTTGCCTCATCTGCCTGTGAATGGTAAATCTTCCTGAACCTAATTCTCTATTCTACGAGGTATTGAATGCCACTTTAAATATTTAGGTGAATATATCTAAACATTTCATATGAAACCAAATTATGTCTCTCTTTTACATGTTTATGAACACATATTTCGGGTTTTTTTTTTTTCAAGGTAATCAGCCATTAAAACCTGTGATACTCATATAGGGTAATCATTTGTACTCTAAAGTGCCCCTTTTGTACCCCCTACAGCTGGGTCGTTTATTGGTAGCGCCCCTCCCCCTCTACCCCCGATGAGGAAGAAGGAAGGAGCAGCTGACCCCATGGATGAGCCCACCTATGAAGCCTTCCGTGAAGGAGAGTATCAGTCTCTTCTGAGAAACGGTATTAAAATAAATTATCTCCTTTATTATGATTATTTTACATACATGTATCTTCCTCTTCACTTTATTATCAATGTGGTATTAGAGAACACCAGGTTTTCTTGAGAAATGGTATTTAATCAATGTCTCTTCTCTTTGTTTTGGGGGCCAATATGTCCATCCAACTACCAATGTTCCATGGGAATTGTGTACATGATTATTTTTAAACTACGGGTATACTGATTTAACATAATGTACAAGAAAGTATTAAAATAAGTTACATGTACATTTATCCCTGGTGGACAAAATTTGAAATTGTTAACATGTTTGTGGTTCTACATGTAAGTGCACATATTGTCAATTGATGCAATTTTGTATTAGTGATAAGTTATTTTTGTTTGTTTAGCATGACTAGATCGTGTTTTTTCATCTCTTGTTTGGTCTGGTTAGCCTCATCTAAGATTCGTCGAGCTGATACTAACATTGTTGCGGTAAAGTTTGATAAGCTGGTACAGGCAGAGAGCCCCGTGACGGGGTCACCAGTCTTCTGTGGTAGCTGTGGAGCTGCCATGTCGCATCTCAGTAAAATATCACAGTTGTACTCAGGAAAGGTGAGCAAAGTTGGAGAATGATCTTGTGAAAGGGGTAATGAAAAGGTGATCAGTAAAATCATCTGTGTATCGATAGAAGACTTAAAGAGAAGGTTGAGTTTTGGGAAGAGGTGAAAAATAATTTGTGAGCATTATCATTGTTATTATGCAAGTGTGGAAGAACATCAGGTAAAAAGTGTTCCCTGAAAAGCATGGCTCTTTAGATTTTTATGCAACATGTTCGTGTACCGATAGTTCCATTTACATATTTCTATGTACAGTGCTTGTCACTTTACCAAGACTGGGCCAAATTTCTTAAGATTTTGATGATTCCAGAACCTTGCAGTACACACCAGTTATACGCTAGATGATAAACCTTTCCTGATCAACTCCACACCGTTTCTTTCACAATGCAATCGCATGACCAGAACTCAACTTTTTCTTTAACCCCCACCCCTTCGTTTTATGAGGTATTGAAATGCTTTATGATAAGAGAACATGAAGGAACAAATTCATATCAAGCCCCCTCCTGTACTGGGGTAGGATGAGATTGGGTGGGGTTCTGTAAGTTGGGGTGGGGTGGGGTGAGGTGGGTTGGGATGGAGTGGGGTGAGGTAGGTTGGGCTCAACTTTAGAATACCCCACCAATACGGTCCATATACAAGAACACCTATCACCATGGGTTAGAGTTAGGGGTAGGGTTAAGATTAGGGTTAGTGTTCATTGGTGGAGTGTTTGTTAACCTACAAACATTTGGTCAATTTTTTGTGGTGGGGAAATTCTAAAGTTGCTCCGTAGATTGGGGTAGGGCAAGTAGGGGTAGGGTGGGATGAAGTAGAATGAGGTGGAGAATAGTAGGTAGGGTTAAGGTTTGGTGAAGGATGGGGTGGGTTAGGGTATGGGGTAGGGTGGCATGGAGTGAGGCGGGAAAGGGGCGGGGTGAGTTTGGTTGTGGTAGAGTACTATGGAGTGGGGTGCGGTAGGGAAGGGTACTGTAAAGTACATGTAGGTACCTCAAACTGTAGTATGATCGCTTTTCCAGCCTTCGGTCTTTTCTGAACATTATTTCATCATGAATATAATGACAACAATTCTGCAATTTCCTTGACTTCCCATGCAGTTCTGGATCTGTGAGTTCTGTGAGCATGAGAACCCTGCTGCTGATGGTACAGTCATACCTACGACGGAAGACAGTACCTACGTGACCGGACCCGGGTCGGGAGGCGATGCGGACACCCTTGTCATCTTCTGTGTAGATGTATCTGGTAGCATGGCTGTTACTACAGAGGTAGGGCCCCTCTATGTTTGATGGCATTCTAATCTTAATAATGGCAAGGTTAAAGCCCCACTGCACTTCTTATAGCTACTTGCACCCTCTATATACAGTGCATCCCAGAAAAAACGAAACCGAGAATTATCGATGTTTTATAATAACTTAATCACAGTTATAATTAATAAACAACAAATATTTGGAAAGCTTACATCCTCCTCTTTCATTTGGTGCAACTCATAATGATGCATATTCACTGGCTGTCTGCCGTAGCAACAAACGGAATTAACAAAAGACTTAACTCCGTTTCGTTGACAATCAGCCATAGACGAAATACTCATTTGCTCGGTAATTTTTATTAAATAGCAGACATCTAGAATACATTACATGAAAATATGGCCTAAGTCAAAACTTCTTTATGGTTGCTGTTGCGAATTGCCAAAGGGTATCAATTTCAAGTCAAAACAAAATTGGCATTTTTCTAACGCAAGGGCTTCAAACATCGTCAAGGAAATTGTGCATGCTGTGAAAATGAAAGGCCCTGGGACCCATTTCACAAAGCTTTTTTCCAATGACAAATGACAAAAATCAGCTACAAATCTGCTGATAACCATTCGGAAGCAAGGATTTCAGTAGCTTATAACACAAACTGTCATTTGTCACTGATGACAAGTTTTGTGAAACGCCCCCCTGAAATTCGCTTGTTTGTTTTCGCAGGTATCTAGTGAAGTTTCTGTGCAAGGCAGGCGTAGTGATGAACAGGTGGCCCTCCAGGCTTACCAGGAGGAGCTGGACGCGGCTGAGCAGAGGTCAAGGGTCGCCCACCAAGAGGCTCTCGATGCCCAGATGCTGGCTGACTACCATGAGACCATTGAAGGCCAGGTCCAAGCCTTAGCCCAGATCCAGATCGCAAGGACCGCATCGACGGCATCGTCCGTTGCACCATCAACTCAAGCCACAGCACAGGCACCAGCCACACCCTCTGCCCCGCCCCCTACCCTCCCCCGTCCTGCCTCTGTGGTCGATGGTGCCCAAGCTGGTAGGCAGAGAGAGCTGGAAGAGAGGTACAGCGCTGCACCCCAGAGGTCCCCTGCTGGCTCCCAGAAGCCTGCTGCACCCCCAAGGCCTGCTGCACCACCTCAGCCCAAGAAGCATGTCTCGTATGTCTCCAGACTTCAGGTAAATTCAGTAGTTTTCCTTCTTAAAGCCACACTGTCCTACTTGTAGCTACTTGCTCCCTCTATATAGGAAACAATGCCTAATCAGTGACCATTGGTCCCCCATGATCCTCTTTTTCTCATGTAAATTGAGAGCTGAGTTGATGAGATAACCACCTGTCCAGTGACCTTGCAGTGTGGTCTAATCCCTCCTATAAACCAGTACAGATAAGCTTTAAGAAAAGATGCAATAAAAAGATGCAAACAATGCATTTGAGTAATCTTTGCATTTCTGAAATTTTGAATACCTGTGATGTCAAAATTCCTTGCCCTCTCTATTCTTTTGTTTAATTTTTAGAGAAATAAACCCTGTAAAAAAAGTTAGAGAACTAAAGTTTGAATGATTATATCTTGCTTGCAATGGGATGATTATCGCTTTGTTTTATAGTATCATTAGAAAGTATATTCACCTTTAAAAATATACTATATTTGTTGTATTTTGCTGCCCTTGAATGAGCAATATACATCAGAATAATGGACAGGGTTAAAAGCAAAAAGTTGCAAAATGCACTGGTAAACATTGTTATTGTTATGCAGTGCACTACACAGCAGCCTTACACCCTTGACAGTAAGAAGGAAGCACAGCCGAAAAAGAGCAGTGTATTTTGCAACTTTTCACTTTTGACCTTGCCCCTTTTTTGATGTTATACATACATTCCATGACTGAAAAAGCATAATAAATAGGCTTTCATTTTAAACAAGAATTAGCACACTTTCTAATGATTTTAAAGGTAAAGACCAGTTATGGTCATGCGATTGCATTGTGAAAGAAATGTTGTGGAATCGATCAGAAAAGGTTGATCATCTAGCATCTAGCATCTGCAAGGTTCTGGAATCATCAAAATGATAAGAAATTTGGCCCATTCTTCGTAAAGTTACAAGCACTATACACAGAAAGATGTATATGGGACTACCCTATATCTCTCACAGACCATGAGAGAAACAAATTTATCAAATATATGAATTAGTAGGCGGTTTCCCGGCAATTTTTTTATCATCATGTATTAGTCAAAACATATTCTTTCACATGATTGGTAATGAGAGCTTCCATTTCATTTTTTGAAATTGGGGCATTTCCAATACTGGTCTTTACCTTTAAACAAAGTGGTAGTTATGCCATAACAGGAGAGATATAATCAATCAAACCTGGGTTTCCAAACTTTTTATGAGGGGTCTATTTTTCATGTTTGAGAAGGAGTGGAGAATCTGCATGCATTTTGTGCAGGCAAACTAGAATCCAATTACAGGGGTTATAATATATCTTTAAAGCACTTAGAGGCATTGTCGATGTATTAAGCGCAATATAAACGTGGATCAATATTATTATTATGTCCTTTTCGCATTCCATGCAGTCAGCCATACAAGAGCAAGTTGCTAAACTAAAGACAAAGAACAGTCAGCATACAGTATGATATTAACAAATTGTATTGTTTTGTTTTTTTGTTTTTTTCTCAGTCCATGCAGTCAGCAATACAACAACAAGTTGACAAACTACGAGCAGAGAATAGTCACAAGAGGGTCGGACTGGTAGCATTCAACAACAATGTAAGTATGATTAAATTATTACTACATTTATTTCATATGTCATGATAAAAAAAAAATGACCTAAGTTATATTTAAAGCACAATAAAAAATTAAAAAAATAAATAAAAATGTATATAAATTATATACAAAATAAAAAAAATATGTAAAATGAAATTTAAAAAAAATAAAGTAATGATAATAACAAATAGATAAATAGAAAAAATCAGTGCAATTTGGTCATAGCAAAACAATCATTGAGAGACTGAAGCTTTCGGTCTAGTATCTAATAATTTTTTGATTTTTTTTTATTTTTCTTTAGGTGACGGTGATCGGAGACGGCAGCCTTGATCCAGTACCCCTAGAGGGCGCTGGTTTAACCGACAGAGAGAGCCTGATCAGCCTCGGACAGAACTTCCCTCTTCCTGGTCCCATATCAGAGGTTCATCGCTGTCTCACAGAAAAGATATACAGGTGAGATGGATAGCCCACATCCTTCAAGTCGGCCATTTTGTCTGTGACTAGATGAAGGCGAGATAAAGCACTTCCTAATTTAGGGCCAAGTTTGATTTTTTTTTTTTTTTCATTGCTTTCATCTTTAGGAGTGAAACCTATGAAGACTGGTCACTGGTCTTATGCAACATGAGGCAGAAGCCAATGAGAGCAATACTAAAAAGAAAACTAAAATATCTGAAAGAACACCGATTAAGACAAAAATAAATCAGATATTGAAGAACTCAATTAGACCATCAATCATGCCAAAATTAAAGCAATACCAAGAAGATTTTCTAATATTCAACGTCACCACACAAGTTTGAAGGGGGAAAAGAGACAATAAAGGACATAAAATATGCAGATTTATAAGCATTACTAAGAAAAACGATGACAGAAAATATGGCCCCAGACTACAACAAAACAGACAAGATCTTTAACCCATTAGCAACTAGATATTTTGTAAAAATGGCCTATATACTCACTGGGAGATGTTGCAATATTGCTCTTATTTTGACATTGTTCTGGACAATATATAACATGTGCTATTTTTTTATGCAGAATCCTACTGTAGACATCATAAGGATTACGCACGTATAACATTATCATGGTAGACCCTAGAACGGATACTATAGCGCGTTGAAAACAGACTGAAACTGACGGTTCAGTGAGTGAAAGAGGGGCGGTTTCGGGTGGTTTAGTTGCTAAAGAGTTAAAACCATAAACCATACCGTGATAAGAACAGATTTTTATAAACGCTGCTTGGTGGCTGCCGGGCTCACGATCAATTGGGCTAAAAGAATTTCCATTTTTGGTTTAACTTAATTAAATTTGGAGTGGACTTTAAAAAAAAATATTATTATTATTATTATAAGGTGATGAGTCATTTATCCATTATTTCAATTCTAATTTTCAGCCTCACAGAGAGTGGTCAGACCGCTTTAGGCCCCGCCCTCCTCATCGCCATTTCCATGGCAGCGCAGAAGCCGGGTCAAAGGTCATCATGTGCACCGACGGATCGGCCAACGTCGGGTTGGGGGCCCTCAACGACATGGACAACGACGCGGCCTATGAACAAGCAGCGGCCTTCTATGACGAGGTCGGCAACTTTGCCCGCGATTCCGGGTGAGTAAAAAGATCCTAACGGCCTTCAAATCAGGACCTGTTTCACAAAGATCCTAAGTCGAACTTAACTCTAAGTGGGACTTAAAAATTATGGACAGCCATTTGTAGCCTTATAATGAAATATATTCAAAAGCTAAAATTCAAGTATTTTAGACTTTTTATGAATTCCACATCAAGAACATGAAATCCCATTGGTAATAGAAAATATTAATGAATGGAATCAACATTTTATGCCTTTTAGAATAAATTTTACAAAATATTTTCATAGATGCCAGCAGCTTTCCATAAATGTTAAGTCTAACTTAGAGACAAGTTTAACTTAGGATCTTTGTGAAACCCCCCCCCCCCCCCCTATTTCACAAAAACTTTCATCTATAACAAGTGTCACAGTGCTGTCACAAATTTGCTCTCATCCAATCAGATTCACAGGTTTCAGTAGCTTATAATATTTATTGTGAATTGTTGTTGATAAGAAATTTTATGAAACAGGACCCTGGCTATACATGTACATGTACATGTACCAATTAGTTTGTACTGCTATTTTGAACCTGTATCAGTATTTAACATTTAGAATGAAGTATTGATAGAACAAATACAATGTACTCTTGAGCCATTTCAATCTTTTTTGTATAAAGTACTACAGTTTAAATATGCTTGCATACATTTAAAATAGCAGCTAAAGGATGAAACAGATTGAGTTTACGAAAGACTTTAAAAATACATTAAAATAAAATACATTGAAAATTGGTTTGATAAAGTACAATAATATGCACAATAATATACAAGATAGGAACAATATTGTACAAAAAAATAAACAAGGAAATGGAAAAGGATGGGGAAATAAAAAGGATAGAAAAGGTAATGCTTGAAATAGATGAAGAAGTATGATCTGTGTGTGTGTGTGTAATTGGGTTTTGACAGACGTGTATCAAGCAGATATGATTATTAATCAATGTATTAATATGTCATAGTCTTGATGTGTATGTTATTTTATTTGTTGGTTCTTTCCAGTGTATGTGTTTCAGTGCTAACGCTAGAAGGAGAGGACTGTAGGGCTATTGAGCTTGGGAGTGTAGCGGACAAGACAAGAGGACAGGTAGGTTGATATTTCATTCAGCTTAAAGGTATTATATCCCATTTGTAGCCAACATCAAATTCTGTAGAACTTTGCAGGAATTATGAATATGTCATGTATGTCCTATCTGTGAAATTTAAACGTTAGCAGTGTCCTCATAATCAAATTATGCAAGGAAACCCGTTTACCTTCTAGACTTCATTGTAAGACACTATTGAGTGAGTGAGTGACTTTTCTTTTTTCTTTGGTAATAACATACATAAAATTAGCTGTAAAGGGTACATGAGCTTTGTCTACATCAATAATCCACTTCTTGTAAAGGCCAAAATTAAACTGATTGAATCTTTTCGCATCACAAAACGTACAACCATTCGGTACAAGGGTCTGGAAATCAGACTATTACTAAAAGGATTGCAATCACTTAAGTCGATTAGACAACTAATGCTTGTTATTTCCCACTTAAAGACATTTTCAAGCCCTTTCGTTTTGAGGGAAGTTCTTAATTAGTATTATCTTTCAAATGCTGTTGGACCTTAACCTTTTCATTTTTTTGGCCTGCAATTGGGACGTAGTACCTTTAAGGGAAATCTAGCCTTGATAGCAAACTAGTCTAGAGTAAAGCAGAAAATCAGAGAAGAAGACAGGTGAAAGTTTGAATGAAATCAGACAAAAAAAATGAAAAGGTTATTAATTTTAGGAAAATTGTAATCACTATAGGTTCCAAGGGTCATACAAATTTTAATGATGAACATCTTCAAAATGGTATCTCAAGCTTTCCAGTGGGTGAAAAAGCCTAATCGAGTAACAGTAACATTGGCGCATTTAATCTGTAAGGGTTGGATGGATTCCACAAAATTTCATATTCATATTGAGTTACTCTATTTACGTGCCAAATTTCAATGTATTTTGTTGCTCCATGGCGAGAAAAGAGGGGGAGGGGGGGGGGGGGGGGGGGGGGAGGTTTAACCCATCCCCTCCCTCCAACTGTGAGATGAGCTATATGACCCGGCCTTTTATAGGGGTCAACATTCAACACTGGCTAGCATTGGTTATTAGGATATTGCACAAGAATTACAAAAAAAATCATGTCATGGTCCCATGTACTGTATTCCACGCAGGTGAGCATCGTTCAACCCAATGATCTCAACCAGCAGTTTGCAGACATTCTAGCTGACCCAGTCCTAGCAACCAATGTTTCAGCTAAGATGGTCCTCCACAAAGGCCTGTAAGTATCTCCTTTTCCTAAAATAATTATTTTACAAAAAAACAAATCATATACATGAGTTTAAAGGGATAGTTGAGTTCTTGTTTAAGACTGCAAATACCTTCAAAATGCATGGTTGGTTATTGCTCTTATTCCTATTTATGACATTTCTAGTGCTCTTTTAGGGCCTAAAATTGCTATTAAGGTAAATTTAGACCCCAAATGTGTGAAATTTTGGTTTATATACAATCATTCCAACTCAGCTTCACTTTCAAAAATATACGGTGACCGTTAATTAATTAATTAAAAATAAAGTGGCCGGCAGTTGTAAGTATTATAACTAACACAAAAAAGCAAACAAATAGCCAACATTGGTAATGGCTGGTATAAAACATATATGGCGCTATCTCATTTTTTCAAAGGCTGGTTCAAAATTATCGAATATTTGTGGGGCCCCACAAATATTAGAAATCTTTATATTTATGGAGATTCAGCCGTCTCTGACCCGAATTTAATCAAACAAAGATGATTTTGTCATTTAAATTGTATATTCTTTCAAATTTGACACTCAGTTTTGCATTATCTCACACAAAAATATTTTGTGTAGCGCCCTCTGCAACAAAACTCAACTACCGGTATCCCTTTAAGATCGTGGTCTTAATGCGAGATATAGAAGGACACACACAAAATCTTCAAACCTGACTGAATTTTGTCTTTAATTATTATTCCATCAGGTTTTTGAAGGATGGTGAGAGCGACAACCCAGAAAGCCAAGCAACCCATAACGTTGGGCTTGTGACAGCCGACTCAGAGACTACTTTTGAGTTTGGAGTGAGGAGAAAAGAAGGTAAGTTGAAATGCTGGAAATCAAATCGACTCGTCTACCTCGACATGACTTAAAGAACCAGACTAGGTGTAAATAGTCAAATTTGACTGAACGCCACAAATACAACCAACAACAAAATTGAAATCTGTTTAGGAGTGTACACATATAGTGGATTTCTCCAGATTTACATGTAACCTGTAATAGTAGGACTTTCCTCCCCTCCCCCAGCTAAGCTTTTGATAACTTCACAAAATTGAGAAGTTATGGATTTTGTGCCTGCCTCATCCACCCTCCCCCCCCCCCCCCATGAAATGGTGAAAAGGAAAAAGAAAATTTAATTTTAAAAAAGAAATAGAAAGAGAGAGAGGAAGAGAAAGGAGGAGAGAATGGTTAACATAAAAGAAAATAATTTGACCCCCCCCCCCTCTCCTCACCTATTAAAACGGCCTCATTTTCTGACATTTGAGCCATCTAACATTTCCTGTGCCCCCCTCCCCCTCCCCCCCCCCCAACCTGCCCCTTTAATGTAGCACTCCTTAAGTGGCTTGGGTTGTTTATCGACATTTGAGCCATCTAACATTTCCTGTGCCCCCCTCCCCCTCCCCCCCCCCCCCCAACCTGCCCCTTTAATGTAGCACTCTTTAAGTGGCTTGGGTTGTTTATCGAAACCTTTGTAAGTCTAAATTCTTGGACATCCCATAGAATCACACATTTCTATGGGATGTCCACGAACTTAGATTCATGATGGTTTTTTGTATGACCTCAGGACCCATAGGCTAGGCTACTGTCATTGATAATTAATGTCTTGTTTCATTTGTTTAAACAGTGTTATATGACAACTTTGGTGGAACTACAGTTGTGGAGAGAGTGGAAGGTAAGTTGCTGTTTGAAATACCAATCTTCTTCTTCTTCTTCCTGTGTTAAAGGCATTGTTTAACAATGTTAAATCTGAGATGCATGGCCCTACTCTGTGATATGGTGTAATATTGAAGCCCTAAAAAAAAATGTCTTTTAAAATGATCATGAAGTGCCTCAAAAAAGTAAAAATCTTTGAGTGACCGGTTTTACCATAATCATTTTCGCCAATAGACTATAAATAAAAAACATTAGGAAAGATTTGACTGTACAGGTGCAGACACCTCAAATGATACTTACTGGTAGTAATAATGAGTAATTAAATTAACAAGTCCGTAACTACAAAATTAACTATAAAGGGAAAAAAGGGGGATGCCAACAGAGACGAGAATGGGACAAGACAAAGATAGGAGAACACTTTCATAATACAAAGAGTAGACAATGCGAGGAATCAGGAGTACAGAAAATAATTATAATTTACTACTTTACGCACCTCATTTTGTTTGGTCCCCTCAGAAGAGCCGATCTACGAGAGCGTGGCCCAGACCATGATTGAAGGTCTAGAGAAGCTGCCGTTCCAGGTCCAGATCCGCTACACAGGCCGTGACGGTCTGGACTACCAGAGGATCCTAACCATGGATAGGCCTGTCACCAAGGATAGGAAGTTTGCTGAACAAAGTGAGCGCTCAATGTCATTTAATCCTCTTCTTAATTCAAAATATTGATAATTGGGTGTGTAAATTTGTTTTTTACAGACGTGTATATCAGCACTCAAAATACACGGGGGCGGTGGGCGATTCGCCCCCGTGAGCTACATAATCGCCAGGTTGCTCACGGGGGCGATTGCAAAATTAAAAATCGCCCCCGTGGAATTATAAGATAAAGATTATCTTTTCTGTTATAACTTTTACACAATATTGAGTTTCAATTTTCAAATCTTAAACCAATGAAATGGAACTTAGATTAGCGTGCAAGATTTCTCGTTTCATGCATGAATAGGCCTATTATTATTATCAATTCAGCTCGTAGTGCAGTGCCACCGTCAGCAGTGGTTATAAGCCTACTGCGCCGTTAGTAACGGTACGTGTGCACGCTGCCGCGCCATGTCTGCTGGAGCTGGAGGCGATCGCGCAAGGGCAGAAACATGGTGATGGAGAAGTTTTTCGTTGTGAAAGCGTAAACCCGCTGAAATCTGATGATTTCAAATGACCAGCAAATGATGAACCTCGACCAGTAAATCAATATTAGGGACTTTTAGATTTGCACGATGAGAACGTGGACTGCAACGTGTAACCTCCTTTTAAGGCACTGCCAGTGCTTAAAAGGACGTCACATGTGACTGCCAGTGCCTTAAAAGGACGTAACACGTCCACGTCCACGCAAATCTAAAAGTCCCTATTGAGAAGAAGAGGAAGACCAAGATGTCGTGGAATGATATGGTAACATGGGCAGATCTACGGGGGGGGGGGGGGGGGGGGGGGGGGGGGGGGGTTAGGGGGTTTAACCCCCTAACCCCCCCGCCCCCTTGGGCTGCCAAGTGAAAATGTGATATTAAAGCTGGGGGGATGCTGGAGAGGAGGACTACTAATCTACTTTATTTTTTTCAAGGGGGGGGGGGGGTGAAGCGCCGTTTTAGCATGACTTTCTTTTTAACTCTTACTTATACCTATCTCAGATAACCCTAAGTTTTTGGTTGCTGCTTTATATGTAGTTGATAATACATGATTAAAATAAAGGCAGAGAGAGAGAGAGAGAGAGAGAACCACCATCATTTTGCAATGGTTCAGGGTTTGTGTAATGTACATTTGAAACCATTTCTTAGCGTCTCAACCCTAAAAAAATAGCAAAACTATTTTTGAGGAAAAGCATTGTACTGAACTGAATAAAGAATAATAGCTTTATATTGGATCATACTAATACTGATACGGGCTAAAGACAATGTGGTATTTGTATAGAGGTATTCCAAAATGACATTCTGATAATCAACATTTGTTCTGGTATCATATGTATACAACTGATGTATACACATAATACAACTGATCTTTATGATTTCTTAACATGACATAGCTTCTTCTCCCCCTGCAAACAAAAAAGAAAACAAGGTTATTTAATAAAAGGATCATGCGACAAATAATCATTGTGATTCAAATTGATGCAAGGATTTGTTTGAATAAGCAATGCTTTTCACCAGAATCTTCTTTGTAAAAACAACTTTTACAAATCACAGCCATGCAAATCTGCCACTGTGTTGTAAGATCACTTTCAGATTAGGAGAAGTGTATTCTTTAATGAGTATTTTACATTGAATGGAACGTCTCAAGTCAGTAAGCAAGGCTGAGATTTGTAAAAGTTGTTTTACAAAGAAGATTCGGGTGAATAGCAGTGCTTATTCAAACAAATATTCACATCAATTTGAATCACAATCATTATTTGTCGCTTAATCCCTTTTAATGACCTTGTTTTCTTTCTCGTTTGCAAGGGGAGAAGAAGATATGTCACGTTAAAGACATCATAAAGATCAGTGTTGTATGCGTATATATTATATACACAGGCCCCGCGGAACGTTTATCAAAGTGGGGGGCTAAAGTATTTACGATCAGGTAGAGGGTAGCGAGCGTAAATTGGTGTGGGGGGGGGGGGTTCAGGGGTTTTAGGCATTTAATTACGGTCAAAGAAGCACAAATATTTTGATGCTGCATGTGTGTCACTGGCAGGTCAGGGGGGGGGGGCGTTTTTTATTTTATTTCGTAAGGTAAAATTTACGTTACTATCCTATTTTTTTTACCAGTTTGGGAGGCTAGGGGGGGGGGGGGCGGGCCGGTAGAATCGGCCTGTGTATTCGCGCCTCTCCAAAATAGCACACACACTAAATCGCCTCGCCTCTACGCGGGTCAGTAAAGAAAGAATGAATGTCAGTAACAGCTATGTAGCTTGTAAATTTGGAAGAGGGAAATGCTGATTAAAATGATAATGATGAAATAGCAAAAAATTGAGGAGTATCATAGGTACCAATTCAATGGATATTTGTATAAAAAAGAGCCCCCATCAGTACTAAAAGAGCCCCCATGAGAAGGCTCACGGGGGCTCTTTTTGGGGGGAAGAGCCCCCATGGACAAAAAATTAATTTGAGCCCTGGTGTATATGTATATTAATATGTCGATCAGATATGATTATTTACATATGGGGACTGAGCTTTAATGTTACCATCCAAAAAACGTGACTTGATTTCGAACTGGTTTTGTCTGAGTGATTTTGTAAGCGAAAATAGAGAGCTAACCAAGTGAACATATGGCTAGACCAACTCACATCTCCCTTTATCAATTGATATTATTGACGATAACAAATCATAATAACAAAGTTTTTTGTCTGGTAAGAAATTTAAGGATGAGAAGTTTACTGAACAGAGTAATTAAGCTCTCAAAATCCTTTTATTATCTTTCTATGGGGCTCTGTTTGTCCTTTAATTGGCAACATTGATTATTGACTTTGCGTTTAATGATACAAAGTAGAAAAGGAATTTTGAAGAAAAGAGTATTCCCTCAAATCTTCTTCAATCATTTAATTTTGGGCTGCTGCTAATCTTCTAATTGGCAACATTGTAATAATACCAAATAAATTAATTAATGAAGTAATAAACAAATGTTCATTTATCTATGACTTAGATGCTAATGTTGGTGTGATTGGAGCCCATGCGGCTCAGTCTGCGGCCAAGCTGGCCGTAGAGGGCGCCTACGCCGAGGCACAGATTAACGCCATCATCACCCAGAAGCTTGTACAGAGATGCACGTGAGTGATAAGGATTATAATGATTTGACTAGACTTGATTTGATTTGATGTGAACTTGACTGAAAAATTACCTTAAACAATTATTAGCACCTTTCAGGACCAACTTTTGATGTTAATGATATTTGAGTAGAACTACCACTTTTAGATTTGAAATGTTATGAGTAAATAGGATTGTAATGATTTGACTTTACTTTATAAACTTGACTGAAAAAGGATTTTAAGCAATTATTAGTAACATACGAGAGGACCATTTTTATATTCTCTGCAAAATGTGGATGTTTATCATATGTAAGCACTATTAAATTTGAAATGTTGTGAGTGAATAGGATTATCATGATTGGACTTGACTAGACTTGATGTAATCTTGACGGAAAAATTTGGCTGAAATATGACATTAAAAAAATTATTAGCACTATACAAGAAGACCATCCTTATGTTCTCTTCAAACTCTTGATGTTATCATATATATATCAAAGCACTATTAAATTTGAAATGTGCTTTAAAAAAAGTGAATATAATTATAGTGATTTGATTTGACTTGACTTAAACTTGACTGAAAAAATACATTTAAAACATTAATAGCAACATTGATGATATTATATTTAAGCAGAAGTACTACTATTGAATTTAAAATGTTGCTAGGGCATAGGATTATAATGACTTTATTTGACTTAAAAATTACATTGACAATTAATTATTATAATTCTACTTAAATTGTAAATTGTATTTTTTGTTGCTAGGCAACCAGAGGAAGGTCAAGAGCCGGAGCAGGAGGGCATCTATCAAACGTTCTTAGCCAACATGGCTCCCATCAATTCTGAAATTACCCGTGCTCATCAGGTAAGAATTAGCTTCTTAATTAGTTGAGAATTTCCTAAAAGTCTGAACTATTCAGATGTGCCTCTTCAAATAGACACCAATTATTACCTAAATACTCCCCAGGGAGCGGAGCATGTGCACTATAATATGCGGGTTAGTAATTGAATCCAATGACAGAGGCAATAATAATTGCAAGGTAAAGCGCATAGAAACGTAGTATTAAGCGCAATAAAAATGTGACCATTATTATTATTCTCATCTTTCACTTTTACATAGTTCAAGACACATCAAATTGAGAGACTTTAGTGCTTTAATTTTTTATTTTAGTTTTTCTTATTCTGGAATGGCTTAATATATTGCAACAGGAATGAACAACAACACTGATATTACATGTAGCTCTCTCTGCTCACGTCACATGTAATTAATATTGTTGAATGTATTTTTTACGAGAATTGGAAAATAATAAAATCAATGAAATTAAAGAATGAAAAGAAGGCTCTGTGCTGCTTGGAGCCAATTTGGATCACTGATGTTCTATTCAGAGCCCTCAAATATACTGTAAACCAAAAAGACATTCATTACATGACCAGTTTGCAAATGGCACTGTTCACTTTATATCGCTTCTTGACATGTTACATCACCCCACTTGTAAAAAATGGGAGAATATTTGCATTTTACAAATGTATCTTAATGATACTGACATAAATTTTGAGTTTGGACAAGTTCACATATGCATATATACTCATTTTGATATTTTTTTTTTTTAACACCACAAACTGCTTTTTGAATAACACAGCTTTATTTGTTTATTAAACAAATTGTGCGGGTTTGTTCAATGTTTTGTAATCTATTTCTCTATAGATTAATATTTTAATCTCATTTTTATGCCTCCGCCACCGAAGGTGGTGCCGGAGGCATCATGTTTTCGGGTTGTCCGTCCGTACGTCCGTCCGTACGTCCGTCCGTACGTCCGTCCGTCCGTCCCGTTTGACCGTTATCACAATATCTCAAGAACCATTTAAGATTTAAACTTAAGACTCGGGAATAGTATTTATCACCATAGGAAGACGATCTGATTAGATTTTGGAGTACGTAGGTCAAAGGTCACAGGTCACAGAGGTCAACTTATGAAATTCCTTGTATTGAGTTTGTTAGCGCGATATCTCAAGAACCATTTGAGATTTAAACTTCAACCTTAAGGATAGTATGTATCACCATAGGAAGACGATCTGATTAGATTTTGGAGCACGTATGTCAAAGGTCAAGGGTCACAGAGGTCAACTTATGAAATTCCATACATTGAGATTGTTATCATGATATCTCAAGAACCACTGGAGATTTAAACTTCAAACTTAGTGATAGTGTGTATCACTATAGGAAAAAAATCTGATTAGATTTTGGAGCACGTATGTCAAAGGTCAAGGGTCACAGAGGTCAACTTATGAAACTCCATACATTGAGATTGTTATCATGATATCTCAAGAACCACTGGAGATTTAAACTTCAAACTTAGTGATAGTGTGTATCACTATAGGAAAACAATCTGATCAGATTTTGGAGCACGTAGGTCAAAGGTCAAGGGTCACAGAGGTCAACTTATGAAATTCCATACATTGAGATTGTTATCATGATATCTCAAGAACCATTTGAGATTTAAACTGCAAACTTAAGGATAGTATGTATCACCATAGGAAGACGATCTGATTAGATTTTGGAGCACGTAGGTCAAAGGTCAAGGGTCACAGAGGTCAACTTATGAAATTCTATACATTGAGATCGTTATTGCGATATCTCAAGAACCACTGGAGAATTTTCACTTCAAACTTAATGATAGTATGTATCACCATATCATAATATCTCAAGAACCACTGGAGATTTAAACTTCAAACTTAATGATAGTGTGTATCACCATAGGAAGACAATCTGATTAGATTTTGGAGCCCGTAGGTCAAAGGTCAAGGGTCACAGAGGTCAACTTACGAAATGCCATACATTGAGATTGTTATGATATCTCAAGAACCACTGGAGATTTAAACTCCAAACTTGTTTAAATTGCTCTATGGCGGAGGCATCATTTTCGACTGCGCGCAGTCAAAATTCCATCTAGTTTCTTATATGATTGCATTTGAGCGTTTTTAAGAGTGTACAGTGTCCTATTGTAATCATATATTTCTTTTAACCTTTTTTCCTTTAACAATTTTTTTTCCTGCATGACCTTTGGCCTATTAACCTTTTGACCTCGTGAACTGTTGACCTCAACAGCAAGAGTGGGATGCTGGTGAATACATGGAGGTAACTAACAACATGCTATAACGTTTTTTTTAAATAATTTTTAATATGCTGTAATCTAATTTGAATAATGTGAGGACAAAGGCCTACTAATGATAATGATAGTCTTGCGTTTTTCAATTTATTAGTAAGTTTTCTTAGAACATTATATGCACATTCATCTACGAATATGTATGCAATTGAAATCTGGTTATTCTCATCTGTAACTGTAGCAAATATACTGCTGAATTATTGCATATATATTTAACCCATCTTTTGAACAAACCTTTAAAATTCCTTGTCCTTCTTTTGAATGATGTTGAGACATTTTGAATTGCTAGGGAAAATATGAGCTTTGTTTCATTTAAGATATGTTGTCTCATCTCTTAGAATAATTTGTAAAAAGTTAAATTTGAATAAGTTTTGCATTTCTTTTTATACACTTCTAAAAAACTACTGGGGTAATGATGGTTTGTTTGTTTTATTTGACCGCTGAGAAAGCATGTGTATGCTTGTAAGTGAGCAACCAGTTTAATCAATTTAAGACCTCTCCAAGAGTCATGGTAATGAGGATTAAAGCCTTACCAAAGGCCAGTATCGCATTGACTTGGTTTTGAACCCAGGATTTTCCAGTTACGAGACCAATGCTCTACCATCGAGCCATCATACCTCCTCTTACTGTATAACTGTTACTGCAAATAGACCGGTTTACTACCATGTTCAAATTGTATGCATATTTTGTAAACAAAGGTTGTTCTTGACACCTTAAAAGCTTGCCCAAGGCTTGTCCGACGTAGCAACAATTAATGTACGCAGAAGTTGCAGACTGGATTCTGACCATTGTAGTTCCTTAACTCTTAAGCTGCTAATCCCTATTGTGCCATGTTAATTTAGGGTAGGTTCAATTAGCGGGTGTAATTATGCACGAAAATGTGTACGTGGCATGCGAGCGAATGAGAGTTTATGTGTGCATGGAAAGCCACCAGAAACCCAATTATGTGAGCGCATGCACAGAACAGTGTTCTTGGCACGATAAGAGTTAATAATTGATAACAGTTTAATGGAATAACTCATGTTACTAGATAGTCCCCGGGAGAGAAACATCCATGAATTTGAATATGTTAGTCAACCGGTATTGGGATAAATCAAACATGAAATGAAGTTTAAATGACAAATGATATTTCATTCTTTGTTTGTTTTAATAATAGCTTGAAACAAGGAGCGAGGAAGAGAGCGATGAGGACGAGGTTCCCTTGGTAACCAAGAACAAGAAGAAGATGAGCAAGAAGGTGAATAATAAGTTGCATTGTAGGTCATAAGGTCACAGGGGCAAAGGTCACCTGATAGTAAAAAGGATGTCAATGTCCATACTTTATCATTAGGTCACAGAGTCTAAGGTCACCTGATAGTAAAAAAGGATTATAAAGTCACTACCACGCATACATTGTGGCATGGGTTTGGCAAATGGGGGGGGGGGGGGACATCTGTTATGGGGAGGGGAGGGCACCATTCTTACAAGGTATATAAAATTTAATAAGGCCCTCAAGTAGGGGGGGGGGGACAGGGCCAAGAAACAATGTATTAGGCGCGTTATAAATGTGATCTATTATTATTTTTATTAGGTGTGGGCAGGGGTCTCCTTGTATGTATTCTCTTCTCTTTCTCTTTCTTTCTCTCTCTTTCTATATCTTTCTCTCTCTTTCTCTCTTATTTCTGTCTCTGTCTTTCTTTGCCGATCAATTAGGGAGTATATATCCCCCCCCCCCCCATCGCTCCTCAAATCTAAGCTACTGCTTGTAGAGATGGTTGATCAAGGGATACATTAATAAAGAATCAAATGTTTTTTAATATTGTGAATCACTTTAACTTCTCATAGATGCCAAAGCTCACCAAGTCAACGATACATTTTAATTATTATCTTGGATACATAGAATAGTATAGCTTAAGTATATACCTGTATTCAATAATTATTCATATATATATATATATATATATATATATATATATATATACATTTGTTAAGATACTATATTCCAAAGGGTACCACACATGATTAGCATTTTATGCTACTTTCTAGTCCCATTTATCTATTCAAGATCTTTGTTAAACATGCATTAATTATTGTTATATTAATGTATTTGAACATTTGGATAACAAAACCTCAAACAAAAACAACATCTACAAATTCAGTTTCTCTTGGAATTTAGCATTAATGAAATCATGTTTCATTGCCTCTCAGTCTTTCGATTGCCTCTATTGATCGTTATACATTACATTTGAATTTCTGTTTTGTTGTATTCTGTATTCTTTGTATTATTATGCTATGTTTGTATTCTTTAATTTATCTTACAGATGAAGAATCGTCGCAAGAACGTTTCCGACCGGCAGGCCAGTGTCTTCTATAGGATGAAAGGAGCGACTACAAAGATGTTCAATAAACAGACCTACGACATGGCAGAGGTGGTATAGTTGGGACCTGCTGGGAAAGGGTCCTGTGTAGAATAGTAGGAGACAATAACATATGGCGTGAACCCTCCTTTTACTGGCAATTTCTATCGATTTAGTGGGAACAAGGATTTATGTCTTTCGGTCAACCAGGGGGGTGTTTCACAAAGATCTAAAGTTAAAGTTAACTCTAACCTGGACTTAAATATTATGGAGAGCCATTTGTAGCTTTAAAGTGACTCTGTAACGTTGTCTCAGATTCTGAAATCCTGGATTTAGCTCATGCTGCAATCATAATATAAACCTTTAGGTCAGTCAGGAATCTCATGACTTTTACAAGCCGATTGCCTGTCTGATTATCAAGATATTTTTTATTGGAATTCAAAATTTCAAAAACCGTTTTCCCCAAAGGTTTTTATTACACTACAGTCTATTGGGGAAAATGAGTAAGGTAGAACCGTTCACTCAAAGATTTGTACTTTTTTGAGGGACTTCATGATTATTTTGAAGCGTAATTTTTTTAGGGCTTCAATATTACACCATATCACAGACACTGATAACACATAGGGACATGCATCTCAGATGTCTAAAACTGGAAACATTAACAATGCCTTTACCATGTGCAAGGATTCATGTATTTCAGTCAACCTGGACCAAGTTATCATGTACAAGACAACTCAGCAAAAGTTTATCTTCCTTTTTTTCAAGAGAGTGTTTATATTAAAGAATATATTTGTTGTGTACATGTACAAGCATACATGTTATTGTGTCAAAGATGTATTAGTGAGGCATTGTGATAACATTCTCTTTCAAAAGGGGAAACAAATCTTCAAGACATCTACAGTACTAGTATTAAAGTTTATACTGTGACAGTGTTCCATTTTCCATGAAGGGATGTGAGTGCCTCGTTCTGAAATTGTTCAAAAAAATGCCTCAGTAGCCTTCGTTTATATACAATATTCATGTGCTCATGTTAAATTTGTCTTGTCCTGCGCTGCAAAATTGCTTGCATTTAAACAATATATTTTCAGTGTTTTGTTATTAAGTAGAAATAAATGCTTCAAACTACTGTCTTTGAATTCAATTTCAATTTCGTGTATTCAAAAATTATGAAAAAATGTGAATTTGAAATATCTTGATAATAATAACATAAAGTGGCCTTAAATGTGAAAATATAATAATCAGGATTCTGTGTAATTGAAAATATCACCTTTGAATTTATATTTTTCAAATTGAAAATTTTAATGTGAAAACGAATATCATTATTTATTGTATCGCATGTATATAAAGCAACGGATAACAATACCGACGTGAAATCATTTGGATTATGATTGTTACATTTTATTTTGTACAAATGTATTTAAAACAATGACATTCCTTAATAACATCTGCTGATCTGTAGTATTCTAAATGTATATTATGAACATGAAAAACAATGCATATGATCATTATTATTGTTTGCATTAAGTATTTGAAGGTATTCCTGATTTTTATATCATAAAGAAATGGCAACAATTTGTACAATATTGGCAATTCACCGGTGTGTGTATGTAATATTAGAGTGCCTTCTGTTGTGATGTGAGTACTGTAAGAAGCTAAATTTATTACCATTATTATTATCATAATATTGTTAAATTTATCAAAATTTATCAAAAGATATAAATCAGTACTGCCAAATCGACCTGTTTACTAATGTTTTCAATTTACGCATGTACAAGTTCACCGACGTCCAATTAAAATGCTGGTCAATTGTGTTTAGATAAGTTGTTGGCGAACTTGAACTATGTCGGGCAAACCTCTGGCAAACTTTTTAGGTGTCAAGAGAAATTGTTCAAAATGTATAGATTAAAATCAGGGAGCAGGTCTATTCCCCTTACCTCTTCATAATTTATCAGTACTAATTTGCATAAATTTATATTTACTATTCCATTTCTTTATCATATTATTATGTATGAGGGTGATTTTGAGAAAAGTTGAAATACAATATATCTAATACATGTACAATGTATTTATATATGTTTTAGTTGCGCCGCTCCCAAACTTTGGAATAACCTTACACTAGACATAAGAAAAGCCTTATATGTTTAATACCGTCTTCGACTTTTGTTGAAGACGCACTTGTTTTCGGTAGCTTTTCAATATTTTTTGTTTCTGTGTGTCTCGAAAGTAGCACTGTTTAAGGATGTTGCTTTCATCACAGCGCAGTAGAGTATATTTGTTGTAGTAGCTGTGCTATAAACATTTATCTAATTATTACTATCATATTTCACTTCAAATTATTTACGAAGAGCAAGGCAAGAAAGAGGGCTTTAGCAAAGCTGAAATATGTCACCTTCAAAAGTGTTTCTTGCATTAGACCTGTAAAGATAAATACTAACTTTTCTTCTTCTAATCTTATTGTTTATTTTCACTGCTTTTTAGCCTGTTAGCCAAGTGCCTTTTTTGTAACATGCATGCTAGATCATCTATGTTCATGTTAACTCTTTTTGATTTAGTACTCATAATCTAATGTATATGATGTTTAACACTGGTTGTTGATATAGCTATGATATATGTAAGAAATGTAATGTCATCTGAATTGTTCTCTAAAAGTACTATGTAATTTTACTTTTTTGATGGTATCATTTGGGGCTTAATTAGTGAACATTTATTTGATTTAATTTATTATGAGACATTCTTTTATTATGTACTATGTAATACTTTGTAGTACTAAATATATTGAGAGTACTTTTTTATATCTATGGCGCTCCATTAGCTAATATGTTATAACAGGTTTATTCCATATAATAGGAGACACTTTAAAGGTATATAAAGGAATGTGTAAAGAAAATTATATGGAAAAGCCCTTATAAAAGGAAAAACTATATATGGTTTGAAAACAGAGTTATATGGCATTTAGTCTTTCTTAATAATCAAATTGTATTCATATTTTTATGGAAGTCTATCAGTTTAGAATGTTACACATCATTAGGATATGCATGGATACAGAATTTATTTGCAGGTTCATATTAGAAATATTAGCTTTATGAATGTAATTGTCAGTAAAATTTCACATTTTTCCAGGCTTCCCAAGATATACTGATTATAGACATTCTGCATGTCATCTACTTTCCACAATTTGTATGTATCCTATTTTATAATGTATGTGTTACTCTAATTGTATATGGTTTTTAGTTGTTGGTATATCATTGAACTAAGTAGTAATTTTACTTTATTTGTAGCTCGATTCTAATAGTGTATTCCTTCTGATCTTCATGTCTTTCAAAGCTAAATCGATTCAAAACGAAATAAATTATTTTATTAATCACAATCTCGTTTTTTTGAAAATTTCTAAAGGTTACATACCGACCCATTCATCGACCCGCCCATTGAATTGTAGAACCACCCACTGACCTACCCAACGACATCCTGACTGACACAACAACTGATACAATGACCGACACATGTCCGACCAACATACATTCCATACAGATTGACCGACCAACCCATCCACGGACACTGACAGACACACCAACTAAAAGGCACACTGACTGACTGACAAACCACCCGGCCCATCGAAGCACCAACTGACCAACAGACACGCCGAATCATGCACACGCTGACCGACGAACCCCAAAACAATGTCAGTGGTGTCGGTGCTTTGGTCGGGGTGGTGTTGGTGCTTTAGTCGGGGTGGCGTCGTTTTGTGTGTTATTGGATCAATATGTCAGATAATGTGTTGCTGTTGGTTGGTGGGTCTATCAATGGGTGAGTATGTCAGTGTGTGGGGTGTTGTGTTGGTGTTGTTGGGTCAATGTGTCCAGAGAGGCGAGGTCGATGGCGGTCTATCAACGAGTAAAATCGGCCGGTTGGATGGTCTGTCCATGTACCCTACCACAAATGGTCCATGGTCTGTTGTAGGGTGGGTGGGTTAGTCAGTGGGTGTATTAGTGTGCTGGTTCAGTGTTGTTGGGTCCTTGTAGTCATGCCTCCCAACCCACTTTCTTCTCGACCTCTTAGTCTACAAACCTACATGAACAATGCCTCAAACCGAAAATGATGGTGTACATGTATGCAAAAAAATTTAATAGATTTTCTTCATTGGATTATTTATATTTACTCACAAAGTATTTCACATTTAAACAAGCATCTGTTACAAATTCTTTCCTCTTCAACTGCCCTTAGTACTTTATACATGCAAAACACAGATGTAATGATGGAAACCATCACCGTCGGTAAAGAATATCAGTTGGGTCCAAGTTCTTGCAGCACAAATGCTTTCCTAATTTCAAGGGAGAAATACAAGTCACTAAGATCATGCAAGACCAAGTGTATTTCTACCCACACAAAGAACATACATTTCAAATAAAAACCTTATTTTCGTCATGCATCTCGAAAAAACATGAGGATTGAAAAGAAAGAAGTATAGACTTTACGGTTAAAATCTGTCACCAAATGCAGATTATGACTTGGTTGGGACCAAATGCAACAATTTCTCACTGAGAAATCAAACTATACGTACACATACAGTCGAATCTGCTTAAGCAACCACCTGTAAAGAAAGACCACCTTTATAGATGGATCACTTTTTTGGGGGGTTTCCCTTGAAAATGATTCCTCATCGAAACCTGTACTATTAAAAGCGAACCTGTACATAAAGACCACCATCCAAAAGCGAAACACTTTTCTTGTCTTCCTTGGGTGGTCTTTATGTACAGGTTTCACTGTCATTACACGCATCCAGCCTTTAGATTCTGCACATATAGAGGGCACGAGAGTATAGAGAAATAGGTTTGTACATAAAACCCTAGAACTGGTCAAGATGGTATCAAAATCAAAATAACCACAAATGCGAGGTTCTTTTTATCTCAACTCTTTCCACTATCATACATGTGAATTTATCTTACTTTACTCTACTACATAAAGACATTGATAAATGTCAAAATAAGAAAATAACTGTAATTAGACGTTATCAAAATAAGTGTGTTTACAATGTCAATCAAACGAACTTTAAAAGCAGTGATCTTGAATAAGTACACCTATTCACCAAAATAAGAGCATAAAAATAACATTGATTTCAGGAAGAAAAAAAAGGCATCTACATGTATATCAAAATAAACTAAAGTACAAGGATACTATCACTAAAGAGATTTATATGTTTTTAACATAATTTTTCAAACGGCCATTTGACATATATCGTATAGAAGCTGCATGTATACAGGTACTCTGTACATATAAAATAATTTATGAC